CATGTGGTAATAGATCAATCAATAATTGATACGTAATTCACACATTCCTATCAGTGAATAATCAAAATACCAAATTATTTGATGTTATGTTTGTATTGTTTTTAACACTCGCCTATCAACACAAATCTTTTTCTTATGTAATCAAACTAATTTTTTTGTTTATCAACGAAAATCATCTTATTGATATATTTTAGTTGGTTTTTCTCGTATCGAGTATTCTCTGCATACTATTGCCTCAATTGTCACTAGAATTTGTTGATTTGTGTGGCAATTTAGGTTGTAGTACATAGAAGAAACTCTCAAACATTAATAAGAAGATTTAAATAACAAAAAAATTCTATTGATGTATAAGCTCCTTAATATTACTATTGTGTTATACCGTAGTTGATTCCATGTATATCTACAGTATTTCGCAGTAGTAAAATAAGTGATGCTTTAAAACGACATATATATATTATTGAATTGAATTCTGGTCAGTTTACTATTGCCTCAATCGCCAACCGAAACATCTCAAAATTTTGGCGCTTGTCACACTAGTAAAAGGATCCAGATAAAAAGTTGACGAATGAAATATTCGAATGAATTACAATTGAAACAAGATGTTTCTATACTCAGTTTTCAATTAATATTAATACACGAAGTTCAATTAACTCGAACATATAAATAGTCATCATTTTACATAATATGCTCTCAGAATTTTAATTGCATATCAAATGAATCACTGAAATATCAGCATGATATTATTCTCTGTATCACAATAAACTTTCATTCACGATAAATACAGTAGTAAACAATATTTTACATTGGTTATGTACGCTAAAACATAGTCAAACTCATTTGACAACATGCATATCAAATATGTATGAATTATCTTGTTGCGGTCTACGTCTAATAAAGCAAATTCAAATAAAGGTGTTGGATACAATCGGTATTTGAATATCTCGCGATTTATTCTATGAAAAATATTGTTGGCGTCGGAATTGGACAAAGAAACTGATTAAGTCATTGTTCGATATAGGAACGAAATTTTTTTCAATGAGTCTCTCTACTTTATTGATTTAATATAAAAAGATACATTCGTTGTGAAAACTTCTTAAACGATTTAGGACATGAGATAACTTTCATTTTATTTCAAATAACTTTTGTTTTATTTTTGAAAGTAAAATGATTCCCTCGATTTTCTAATTAAAATGAATATGTATATAGAAAATTACATTGAGTAAAAACAAAATCTATAAAAGCACGTTTATTTTTGATTTATCATTAGGTATATCCACATGTTTTTTTACAATAGGATTTATTAAATAATTTCCATCTTGATTTAAATTAGGTAATGGATCAACATAACGAAGTAATTCATAAATAATTAATTGAGTCGTTTCAGCGATACTTTCTAATGTAAGATTTCGATTTGAATCAGGTATATGAATAAAAGCTGTTCGTTTTGGATCAATATATAATGATTGATAGTAGATATATTCACAAAGAAATCTTCCAGCATCATCAGATACTAATACAGGTACATTGGTTCGACGTTGTACTCGAGCACATACATCAGCTATTGGAAGATGAGTTGTTAATATTTCTGGTGCATCTTTTTTTACACATCGACCTGTTTCTGGTAAAGTACCATTATTATCTGGATAACAATAATCCATATTACAAGCATAACGTTCTATTTGAATTTCTGTTGCTCCTACTGCAACACCAATATGAATTACTAACTGAAAATTAAAACAAAAAAAAACGAAATTATATTTTCTTTTGAAAGATTTTACTGTTGGATTATATTTTAGCCAATAATCGGGTATTTTAGTTGATACATCTTCATAGGTTACAGGCATTTGTTCGATAATAATATGTACTGGACATTTCCATTCAAGATATGTTTTTAACATCTTAGCTACTTCCCAACTTGGATTAACAACTACTGAATGAAATGGACCAAAACCTGTTATAAGAACAACAGGAATATTTGATAGAACTGATGAATCCATTTGAAATGATATTTTTTAATAGAACAAAAAATATTTTTCTAGAAAATAAATATATGCTTTAATGACATGTATATAGAAGTTTGTTTTGTATGAATTAGAAATATGATTTTATAGAGATCATACATTATTGAATATTTGTAGAACAAGATTTTTATAATCAGAAATAAAAATAAAAGTCAGGTGACACGATATATAAACATGTTACTTGACTCATTTTTTACAAGTATTTAATAATCAATCTTCTTTTCAGGTATGAGTAGAATGGTGTTTGTAAGAGACCAGTTATTTTCATTTTCTATACTTTGTAAGACACGTAAAAATGATGTCGCACTTGTTCGGTACTGTTTTAGATTAATAGATGTATATACAGATTTAGGCTAAATCAACATTACATTTGTTTATGTCTCATCGTTATAATTCTTTCATAATCGATTGCATCACGTAGATGTTTCTGACTATTATGACTTTTATCACACGTTCATATATTTAAAAACATTTTTATATCACCAGCAATAATAGATTATAATATGGCACTATCAAAGCTCAAGGGTTTTTTGCGATACATACAGAAAAATAATATTTATATTATTATTTTATACAATTAACAACTTTTTGATACATTATATATATAATAAGATTTATAATCAGGATTCAAATATCTGAATTAGATTTAATAAATATTATGTTGTAAATTAATATGATCAAAAGGTATTATTCCCTAGAAAAACAAGCACGTGTTATTCTTATTTATGACTTTAATGAAAGTCTATGAATAGATATTCAATATGTTTTACAGATTATGTTCTTTCCCTGACTTTTTTGATACAGAACATAGTAATAAATTAAGAAATACGCCTTTTTTATCCTCACTAAACTTTAGATCATTTATAATTTACTAGATTATAGTGTCATTCATAGTTCCTTTTTGTTTTAATACATGAACATTTTTAATAATATGTTTTTCCTCTATGACATAGAAGATATGACAGTTAGTTTGACATAACCCAGAAGTATAAAAAAGAAGTCAATGGAAAATTGTTCATACTAAAGATATGCAAATTAATAATTAAGTTCATTACAATTCATCTCAAAGACTTCCTATCTTGAAATTTTTAACTTCGTAAATCAATAAATAAATATAGAATGTGTTTTTAAACGAAAAGAAGCTCTTTATCTTATTACGTTGATTACATACAGGAAATACTTCTTCATATTTTTCTCGTTCTCTCTCTTTGAAGATTTACATAGGAATTACGTTCTACTTATCATGCACGCAAGGTATAAAATAAGGAATGAAAGGTAACAAAAGTAATACTTTTTAAATCATTAATATTATAAGATTTTACTGTCTATAGTATTACAGGAAGAGAGTGTTATCCTATACGAATAATTTTTATGTTGTTGAAAAAGAAAACAAAGTCAAGTTTACATAGTTTTTGTATTCTTTTTCATACTTAAAAATGTTCGAGAAACTCATATTTCTCTCCTCTCTTCTATCATTTACTATTCCTATAAACATCTATCTCATATAGAATTACTCAGTTACTCAGAATCAAGATTCACACATCTAGTTCTTTTTTTACTCTATGTTTAATATAAATAACGCTGATAAAAACGAATGAACGTTAGTAATAATATAATATAGAGGCAAAAAGAGAGAAATAACTCTCTCTAAACCTTCGGCTATACTCAACTCTTACTGTCAATCAACATTTACATTTACATTTACTGTTTTTTTTCCAGAACATCATCATTTCTTTTTTCCTTTTCTTTCTCGACACTCTTTTTTTTATTCTACGAAACGACAAATTGACAACGGAAGTAAGTCAAGTGTGAAATGGTACTACTCAAAAATAGTTAAACGATCAAAACAATAAATAACATTATTATCAATAATAACTACTAAACGATTCTATCAATGAGTTTCTACTACGATTTATGTTTATTCACTTTTCTGTTTTCAACTATTTATGCTAATATTAAACCAACTATTACAAAAGATTGGTTAATTGAATTTCATCATCAAATTGAACCTGATGTAGCGAAACATATTGCTAAACGATATGCTATGATTTCTCGAGGACCGGTATTTTGAAATTTTCTTTAGACAAAAAAAGAATAGAATTTTTTTTCTTATTTGTTCTAGGTATTAAATGATAAACATTTATATCATTTTGTCGATCTTAAACCAACACATCCTCATACACGTAAAAAACGAGATATTGCTCAAGAAGAATTTATTGAACGACATGAACTTGTAATTATTTCATTGACGAAAATAAAATATTATCTATATAGATAATTTTTAGGTAAAACGAGCTATTCATCAAATACCTCATATTCGTATTAAACGTGGTTATCGTTCATCAGATGAACTTAAACCTACTTTATCGGAATATAAATCACCATCTGATCCTTATTTTCAATATCAATGGTATTTGGTAAAATAAATTTATTTTCATAGAACAAAAAAAAAACCTAATTTTTAATAAATTAGAAAAATGTTGGTCAAGCGGGCGGTAAACCTCGACTTGATTTAAATGTTGAAGAAGCATGGGCATTAGGTTATACTGGTAAAAATATAACAACAGCAATTATGGATGATGGTGTTGATTATACACATCCTGATCTTATGTATAACTATGTATTATATTAACAAAAAAAAACATACAGAAAAACGAAATTTTTTTATTTTAGAATGCAGCTGCCAGTTATGATTTTAGTAGTAATGATCGATATCCATATCCTCGTTATACAGATGATTGGTTTAATAGGTAGGATAGTTTTCTTTGTTTTTTTATAAGTAATGTTAAATTTAATTTAGTCATGGAACACGTTGTGCTGGTGAAATAGCTGCTGCACGAGATAATAATATATGTGGTGTGGGTGTTGCTTATGATTCAATGATAGCTGGTAAGAAATATATGAATAAATAACTAATTAAATTAAGAAAATAATTGATTTCCTAGGTATTCGAATGCTTGATCAACCATATATGACAGGTATGAATGATGAATAGGAATAATCTTGGATGTAAAAATCTAATGATATTTGATAATAGATCTTATTGAAGCTAATTCAATGGCACATGAACCAAATTTAATCGATATTTATTCAGCATCATGGGGTTCGTATTTATTTTTGATTTATCTATCTAACAATCGATAATTGTATTTTAAAAGGTCCAGTTGATGATGGTAAAACAGTTGATGGACCACGACATGCAACTATGAAAGCAATTGTCAATGGAATTAATCAAGTAGAATTATATAACTTTTGATATCGAATTTTTTCTTTTTTTTCTTTTCAGGGTCGTAACGGTCTTGGTAAAATTTCTTAAATCATAATTTTAATTTAATTAATTTTTTCCCGACTAGGTTCAATCTATGTATGGGCAAGTGGTGATGGTGGAGTAAATGATGATTGCAATTGTGATGGTTATGCTGCATCAATGTGGACAATATCAATAAATTCGGCTATTAACGATGGTCGAACAGCACTCTATGATGAATCATGCTCATCGACACTTGCTTCAACATTTAGTAATGGTCGTAGTGATGATCCACATTCAGGTTAAAACCCATTGTTATACTTTATTTTTTTTGTCAAAGAAAACCGGATTATTTTCGATAGAAATATAATAATCATTTTTAATATAATATTGCATGTCTTGAAAGAAAACAAAGTACTCTTTCATAAAAAATGATTATATATGCTTAGTGAAATATTAATGGAATGTCTATTATATTCATTTTCTTTTCAATTTCCTGTTTCTTTATAGGAGTTGCAACAACGGATTTATATGGAGAATGTACTCTGAAACATTCAGGTACTTCAGCAGCAGCACCTGAAGCAGCTGGTGTATTCGCACTTGTATTAGAAGCAAAGTATAAAAGTCGTAATTAAGAAGATTTCTTTAAATTAAATTAAATTTTTTCTTTCTTTTAAGTCGTCAATTAACTTGGCGTGATGTTCAACATTTAACAGTATTAACTGCAAAACGTAATCAACTTTTTGATCCATCAAAACAACATTTATGGCATATTAATGGAGCTGGATTAGAATTTAATCATTTATTTGGTTTTGGTGTTCTTGATGGTTTGTATCTAATATTTTAAATTTTTTTATTCCTAATTGAAATCATTTCTAGCTGGTGACATGGTTCAACATGCTAAAGATTGGAAACCATTACCAACTCGATTTCATTGTTCAGCTGGAGATATAACTGGAAAACGGTATAATAAATTTACATAAAAAATCAAGAGATATTTTGAGAGAATTGTTTTGTTTATTAATAGAATAATTCCAAAAACAGGTACATTAAAATTGACAATTAAGACAGATGCATGTAAAAATACACCAAATGAAGTTAATTATCTCGAACATGTACAAGCATTTATTACACTTAAAAGTAGTCGACGTGGTAATACAGTCATGTTTCTTACATCACCACTTGGCACACGGTAAATACATCAATTAGTCAAGGAGTTATTTCGTTGTTAAGATGTCAACATGTTTTATTATGAAAACTTATGAGATCTATTATAATTAAAGGAAATCGTGACTAAGAAATAAAAGAATTATGATATGATTAGATTAAAGACTACATTTCCTCAGCAACAAAGTCATAAATGTCTATTTTTAATCTTAGTCAACATTTGTAGTAATTGAGTTTAAGCAAATTCTAGGAAAACTATAATGAATATCATGTGGGTTTTATACATTAAAAAAACTTCTGTCTGATCTCGAAGATGAAAGACATTTGGATCAGGACTATGTCTCTTTGACATAACCCATGATTATTAAAAGATCTATAACAACAGAATACACTTTACCCTGGCAAAAGGTTATTTCGCATGAATTGATCGTATACTATTTATATTTTGTAAACAAAGTTTCTTTGTTCTACTACTAGACTTCAAGTTCAATAGATTATTATACAATGAAGACATAGCCAGGGGGAAAGCGCGGGCGTCTGAGCACCAGCGGCGGATCTAGGATTTTTGAAGGGGGGACGATTTTGTAGTAGGAAGGGGCGATACCTGTAGAGGGGGAGACGATTTTGGCTAAAAACTATTCTTTGAGTCCAATCGAAGTAGTGTGAACCTATTTTTGCTGTAAAAAATCGAAAAAATTTTCTGTAGGGAGGGGGGCGATCGCTCCCCTCTAAATCCCCCACTGTTTAGCACCTAATCGTGATAGTAGACGCCTGACCCTCACTTTAGTCATTTAATAAATTTATCTATTTTATTATCTAGATCATTAATTCTGAGTCGTCGTCCGTTAGATGATGACTCAACAAAAGGTTTTTATAAATGGCCATTTATGACAACACATGCATGGGCTGAACGAGCTCAAGGTATATGGACACTTGAAATACGTTTTGATAATGACGATTATGCAAATACATCATTAACAAACCAACAAAATCAAACAATATCAGACAAACATGAAAGTCAGAAACCGACAACAGGTGAATTTTTTGAATGGTCATTGGTATTACATGGTACAAAACAAGCACCCTATCAAGATCAAATACCATTAAAACATCTTGAAAATAAAAGTAAATTATATATTACAAAACAAATTCATGAAAATAATTTTCGAGATAAAGCAAAATATGTTAAATTATTACAACAAGATAATCAAAAACGTTTAGGAAGTGATGATGAAATGATGATGTAAACATTTTAATAAAGAATTTCCAATTCCAAGGTTTAACTTATCATGTAGAAATTCATATTAAAAAAAAATACGTAGATTTTATTTTGTTTTTATAAAATAAAACCATAAGTATGTTGAATACAAATAAATAAATAAAATCAGAACAAGAACTATAAAAAATATACGACCTTGATAAATAATTTTTCTCATACAAAATACATTCATGAATAAATGATTATGAAACAATTATTTCTAATTTTTATTCTAAATAAAGAAAACAATTTGAATAAAAAACGTCTTTCAGAACCGATTTACATCTATTCCTCTATTGTCTGTTATCTAAATGAAGTTCAGAAGGTTGAATTACGGGTTAATTTTACGAAATAATAATATTTAATTGAAGATAAACACAGTTCGCATGTCTATAAATGTCATCATACTAAATTGAAAAAGAACAGTATAACACTGACTAATTGAGAACTGTCAAGAAAAGTTTATTCATATATTTTTAATAGGATTTGATTGATTTTAGTAAAAATATTTCAAGTTAATCGAATATGATTATTATCGGGGCACTTTGACAAAGTAAACTACACACGAGTTCAAAAAAACTTGCACAAAATTGAATTTTTTGTATAACGATTTTCTTATCGTTAGAAAGTAATTAAAAGTTTAACTTTTCCAGGGATATATGTCCGTTAGTAACACTACACGTTGACTATATAAAAGCGTGAATTCTTTTCTTTTTAACACATAAACATTTAATCATGACATCATCCACTGATTTGAAAAAGCATCATATATCATTATTACATTATTGGAACAACGGCATACGATCTGCTCGTGCTCTCCACCGTAAAACGAAGATACCACTAAGGACTATCTATTACAATATAGATAAGTTGAAACAAACAAATTCACTTAAACACCAAGGAGGAAATGGTCGGCCAATTCTCTTATGTGCAAAAGAAAAAAAAGCTATTGGTCAATATATTCGACGCTAATCCTATCGAGAACGTATGGTCGATCGTAAAACGTAAAGCTCAAAAAAGAAAACCGAAAAATATTGATGAATTAGAACTTTTTTTATGTGAAGAATTTAAAAATGTTGATGTTAATTTTGTAATGAATTTTGTGATGTCGATGAAAAAAAGATGTTTGTCTCTTATTGAATCTAAAGGTGAACGAATAAAATATTGAAGTATAGTGCTAAATAGTACTCGACATAGGCTATCAGCCAGTTATGGAAATTACTTGAGAGTGACTTATATATGGGGATATATTTACATAACAAGATGTGCAAGTTTTTTTGAACTCGTGTGTATATTTAATCAACAATATTCTAATAAAATCTGTATCTGATAATGTGTTTCCAAAGGTGACAACACACTGTTTGACTTACAATTTTTGGTAATCAGAAAACGAGAATCTTTTATATAAAACTATAAACGAATATTTTAAATTAAAATACTTGTGAATCGATAACGATTGAACGCTTTCTATTAAACGGTTCATTAGCGTTTCAATTCACTCCAGATAATCCATATTTATTTTTTCGAAGATTCAAAAAAGACAAAATTATTATACAAGTTACAGAAGATTCATTCTGTTTTTAGAACACATAAGAAAACATGTACACAAAAAAAACGATAATCATGCATAGAATCAAATAGTTAATAGTCATATAAGAATAAGTTTATTTCATTTTCTTCGTCTATTCAATAAACGATATGGTGGTGTTAATTGATGACGTCGTTCAAACTCTCTTGCACGTTCTCTCCATCGTCGTATTGGTGTATTTTGTAAACGTTTTACTGAACGAGTTACTTCACCGGTACCATTCGATGATGAAATTATTTTATTTGAACGTTTTAATGCTTGTTCAATAAGATTCTGTTCTGGTGTATTCATTATTGTCAATGATGATAATGTCGATAACATTGGTGATGTTGGTTTACTTGTTAAAACTTTTTTCTCATTTAATTTTTGTTGTGATAATACATCAGGTACAATTGATCGATTTTGTATATTTTCCGATGAACGTTGTTCAAATGCTCGTACTTGTCTTAAAACTCGACCTGCTAATTCACCTTTAAGTTGAAGAATACTTTCTCGACCACCATTGAGTATACCAATATTCTAAATAAAATATAAAAAAAAACAAGATTTAAGTTTTTTTGTTTTCTATTATTATTATTATTATCATCCAAAAGAAGAAGAAAAATTGTTATATTTTATTTAGTATAGATCAAATAACAAAAATATAGATATACTAAGTTTAAATCCACAAAAAATAAATTCTTAAATTTTTTATTATTATTATTATATATGCATCATGTTTACCTCGTCGTTTTCTCCGAGAGTTTTCGAATGAAATAATTCATTTGTTGCTTGTGATAATGAACATGATAATGAACGTTCTTTACATACTGATGTTAATGAACTTGTTGAAATTAAATTGGAAATTGATGATGATAAACGTACTGGCATTTTAGGTGTTGTTGATTTTAATTCATCTTTTTTAGCTGGTGGTGGAGTTGTTCGATTCATCGATATACTAAAATTAACATGTTCTTCATCCTAAAGATCAAACACAAAAAAGAATTCGGAAAAATAAATTTTTTTGTGATATTTACATCTGAATCTGTTAATCTAATACAACGATTTTCATTTCGTTTTAAAATTTCATCAAGATCATTTGTTTGACAAATATCTTGCATTTCAATGGATTGTTGTTCACAATTAACTACAATTGTTTGTGAAAGTGTATCATTTTCATTACTTGCTATATCCATGGCATTTGATTGATCACGTTGTTCATCATCTAAATTATTTTTCTGACGTTCTAAATCAGTTTCATCAATAAATGCAACATTAAGTGAACCATTTTCTTGATTCGTCATTTGTTCATTTGGATATGAACGTAATGATTGAATATCTTCATTTCCAACCACAACAGCTAGATTAAGTTCATTGGATATATCTTCTTCATCATCATAAGATTCTTGAGTTAGATTAAGATTACTAGGCATTGATTGAGTATTTCGTGTTTCTTGATCTTGTTCATCATCATCACTTGTATTTTGTTGTTGATTCGATGGTAATGAATGTGAATAATTATTAAGCATACAAACAACATGACGTGTTTGTTGTTGACCACCACTGGATGAAATTGAACGACGTGGACGATATACTGTTGTTGAAAGTGATGTACTAACAACATCATCGGAATGTCGACGAGCAACACCAAAACTAGAATGCATTAATAAAGAAGTTCCGGCGGCTTGTTGAGATGATGATGATTGATTTGATCCATTTATTGGTTTAATAGGTGATGGAGGAGATTGAGCGAGTGATGATGAATCAGCTGTTGAAGCAGCTAACATAGGTGCATGAATAGCTACAAGAGGTTTTCGTTCAGCTTTCTAAAAGTATGATATTGTTTCTATAGTAGATTAATTTAAAAAATACGAACCCGACTAGATTTTGGCCATTTCCACGAATCCAAAAGATTGAGTCTAAATGAAAATGATTGAATTATTTTCGATAATTATATTCAAATTCTTACTTTTTTGCATCAAGTGATTTATTAATACATGCAGCAGGTGCTGTATTTGTTAATAATGAAGGTTGTGTTTCTGATGGTATCATTGCTGATGGTTGAAGTGCACCGAGAACAATCGAACCATTGTTAGCAATTGATGCTGCTAATGTGGTCATTGAACCACTTGGTGTTGTTGTTGATGATGAAGATGATGATGATGAAACAGATGAAGCTGTATTACCGGCGGTATTAGCAAAACGTAATGAAGGAGCTGCTTCATCAGTAAATTGAATTAATTGTGGTAAATGAGAATGTTCAATTCTGAAAGGAAAGCCTAAAAAGAAAAGTTTTCAAATTTCGAAAAACAAAATAGCAAATGAAATTTACCAGGATCATTACTACTTCCAGGTGTTTTCTTCTTTCGACGAAAAGCTGTTATCGGACTTGTAAAACGATTTGTATCAGGTAGGGATGATTTTTCTGACGTTGTTTTTGTTTTACTATAAATACAAAAAAATTGATTCGTAAACACCATAGGATATTTCAAATAATTTTTACCCTCGTTTTGAATTGCCACCATTTGGATCATCACTTGATTTTCGTTTCGTTGTTGTTGTTGAACTTGATGATGATGATAAACAATGTCCACTAGTACTATTTTGTTGATAATGATAACGATGTTCACGTGTATGAGATGATGATAATTTACCACTTTGATCAAGAAAAGCATGTGTTTGATCACGACTATCATTATTTGAACCAGATCGACGACGAAGTCGATTAGTCATATGAACAAGAAATTCTACAAATGAAAATATTAGTAATTTCTTAATTAGATTATTTGAATACCTTTAACAGAACCACTACGTCGTTTTTTTGCATTTGCTGGATCAATTATTTTTCCACCACCAATACCATGTTCTATTCCATTTTCAATAGCAAAACTTTCATCTGTATGTTGTGCTGCTTCTTTTTGTCTCATTTCTAAAAGCATTTGTGATCGTTCATATACTGAATCAGCAACATAACCAAGTTTAGTTGCATTAAGTATTAAAACTTCAACAATATCACTAACACTTGTTGCACATTGTTCAGTCATTATATTTGCTTTACCTTCGGCTGCCGTACGCATTATGCCAGGACCAACACATATAGCTAAATTTTTTGCATTCATTTTATTATCACGTTCATTTAATGTTATTTCATGTAGAAATCGTAAGATATAAATAAGTGCATGTAAATGTTCATCGGGTAAAAGTAGAAGAATATTAAGATAATTTTCAACTTTTTTCTCTGATGATAATGAACGCATTGAAAAACAATCAAGTAAAAGATCTTGTAATGGATATGTAATTAATGGATATGTTAGACGACGGAGAAATTCTTTAAATAATGAACATATATCAAATACTGTATTGGATGGTAATAGACTAGGTGTTAATGGACCATCTTCAATTCGAGTCTATCAAAAAAAAAACAAAGAAGAAATTATGAATAATTGAAATTAATATAGAATTTTACCATAAGTTCTTTGACACGTTGTGATCCACCTGATTTTCGAAAAAGACCTTCATGTTTAATTGAACGACGTATACAATCAAAACACCAACGTAAAAATATCGGTACTGTTAAATCGAGATTATCTATTTTCAATGAGAATACATCCATTTGATGAAGAGGTATATTAAATACACGAGATCCTTGTTGTTGTTTAGAATTATTTGTAATATGAGGTGATGGTTGATTTATTATATTATTACGATGTTTATTTGTATCAATACGTAAACCAACATTGCTAAGATCATTAACAATAAATTCACGAACACTCCCTTTCTCTTCGAGTGCAGTAAAATTACGCATGATTTTCTTATTTAAATTACTTTATGAAAATTTAAGAAAATACTACGCATAGAGGAGTAGAATAATCTACCATCACTAAAATATATAGAAAAATAATTTTATTTTAGTATCGAAAATATATATATATATATAATTATTTACAGAAAGAACGAAATTTGTAAAAGAAACGAAAACAAACAGACGAGACAGAGAATTCTATATATACCCAATACACTTTGCGGGCGAACTGAACAAATGAACCAATTATCTAATAACGTATTATTTCTGCTGACCTCTATTGAGAAAATCATATTTTATAAAATATAAGAACATCTATACTGTAGATATAAATCTAATAAAGAATGTTAATCTGTCGGTTATATATTCCAACATTATCGAAAGTTCCATATACAATAGCGATAGAATAATATGTCCATTTTCAGTATAACAATAATGAGCTATAGTATATTTCATCCAAGCCTTATTTTCAAATATTTATGGATATTATAGTGTGTCAATGTTCTAGTGCTTGACGACATTTGATTCTTTGAATCTCAATGACGTATAAATATATATCCGATCGGCATTGGACTTGTCAAGTAGTCTTGCATAAATGATTCTTTCTTCAATAGCTATGGTTATTTGATTGAATTTTCAACCGTAAAAAACTACTGCTCGTTGAAATACTGAGTTTTCAGATAGACTTGATAACTGCAACTAAACATATAGCTTTCTAACAATATTAAAATGAATTATTATCGTCGTTTGTTATTTGAGAACATTTGTAGTTCTAAAATATATTTCCATGCCTACGTAAAGTGATAACATTCATAATTATTGTTTAATTATCTTATCTTCTAATACTATTCAAGAATTTTGTTTTCATCATTGATTAGAAGATTTATTATGTAAATGATTTGAACTGGAGGTTACGCTGAGTACTATATTTCAAATAATTATAGTATAGTAATGACCCCTACTATTGTTATTGAGGATTATTTATCACATTGCATACTGTGCCTAAATAATAAATCTATTCTATTCGGTCTTATACTGTACAATAATGTTGAGACAGAAGAAATAAAACCTATGCCGGAAGGACAAAAAAATATAAATACATAGATGTTGTCTGCTGCTCGATATTTTTATCGTTTTCTGATTCTTACATTTCTATCTCACATAATACCAGCAAAAACAATCATGATAGTAAAGCATATCTGCATTATACTTGATGTCTACGACGATATACGTACAAAAACGATGATTTTGCGATATTAGTCAGACATAGCAATAGAAAAAGATTTCTTCTTCTTCTTCTTTTTGCTAGTAATAGCAGGAAAAAAGAGAAGGAAAAAAAATAGCTAATGGAAAATATACTTACCCAAGACATCCACCATACTGAAAAGAAAAAAGAGAATTCGTCGTCAAATACAGTCAAAGATTATTCATACTAAACTATACATGGATTATACATTATTTCCAACCATACCTGTATACTTAGAACGACCAAGTTTAGATCAAAGTTGGGGTTTTCGTCTTCAAGGTGGCACTGACTATAGAATGCCATTATCGATTAAAAAGGTTTGTAGATTATTTTCTCAAAGTAAAGTCATAACTAGCGGTGGCACTTTACCCGATACAGTGAAATAAAGATAAAGTGCCAGTCATAGTAACCTGCGGTATTCAACATTCAGCAGAGGACAGTCGAGGGCACATGCCTATGTATGAGATATTTTTTCGCTGTATTTATAGCTCACTCTAATCTCTTTCAAATGTTATAAAAGAAAATCTTCGAAGTTGTTTACATACTATTTTGAAAAAGACCCATGAGATTATGAAACTACTGGAATAATTCGAAAAAAAACTTTCCTGCAAAATTTGTTAGTTTTTCTAAGGATTCGTCTACTAAAAATTAATTTGAAAAGATACTTTGGGGAAATAGTTTTCACGTATAGGCATGTACCCCCACCTATTCTCTATTGAATAGTGAAACCGGCAGATCATTATGCCTTTTCTTCTGTATGCCTTCTTTAAAAATTCCTATAGTATTAGTTTTTGATTATCTATTCTATATAGGTAGTATCTAATTCACCTTCACACAATAAAGTTTATCCAGGTGATGGTATTGCTTCTATTGATGGACAAGATGCACAATCAATGACACATGAAGATGCCGAAAATATAATTCGTAATTCATTACGTTTACAACTTGTTCTTCAACGGTATGCTTCATAAATGAGTTTAGTTTAATTTTTGATAGACAAAAAAAAAGAACTCAATTGAATTATTTATTATTGAAAAGATAGTTGGAATCGAATTTTTAAACTATTCAAAAATTAATTGAGATAATCATTGTTAATGAGTGGTAATCAAATATTATATTCTAGAGGTCAACTAAATACAATTCGTCCATCAAAACCATCGGTTAAATTCGGTCCTGGACCAGCTACACATGTCAATTCAGCATTAAATAATTCAACAACACCAAATAATTATCGTCGTTTTTAATGAAATTTTTTATTACACATTTGTCAATACACCAAAAACATATATAAAATTTTTGTATACAATCCTTTTTCTCTCTCAAGTTTATTGTTTTTCTCTTTTGATGAAATGAAAAAAAAGAACCAAAAAGAAAACACAAGTAGAGACATCAAACGAAAGAACATTTGTGTTATCTCACGGGATCAGCACGTTCTCTCTCTTTTTCTTAGGTTTAATCAATGAAAAAAAAACATGACATACACACACGCGCACACACACACACTCAAGCAAAAACTTATACAATGTGTCACAAGAAACAAAAAAAAGAAAACAAAAAACGAAAAAAGAAAAGAAAAGAAAATCATATATATATGTATATATATATGAACATACGAATGAACGAATGTAATCATATGATATAGGGAGTAGGAAGAGGAAAGAACGGAGAAGCAAAAACAAAAGAAAATGACAAAGAAAAAGATATGAGTAGCATTACACATACACAAACGATCGACTGCCAACACAACAATAAATTGGGTTTCTTTTTTCAAGTGTATTCAACAAGTCAAATGTTTTTGCTAAGTATATGGACAAAAATTTGAGTGTCTATATATATATATAATTCATCGTTTGGAGGGAAGTAGAGTTTTTTTTTTTCTTTTTTTTTTTCGCAAAATAAAATGGCACTCTATCTCTTTTTGGTTCTCTCACTCGTACAAAAAAATGACCTTGATCCAATATATATGTATATATATCTATATATATACGAACAAAACAAACATACACACAAAGACAATGATCTATACATATGATAACAAGGAAAAAAGAAGGAAAAAGGAACTGACGAGCGAGATTACAATAGAAAAGAGGAAATAAATACTGAATGATTATCACTTCATAAATGAAAAATCAACATCAGTATGACGATTAAATGGTAATGATTGATTGAGTGCTTGACACTAAAAAAAAGAAATGATTTTGAATCGTTTTGTAGATTAAATTTGCTTACTTCTCGACGTTTGCGATCTTCTTCACGTCGTTTAGCAATTTCTTGTTTTTGTCGTTGTTTATCATCAATAACTGCTTCTTGTGGTGGATTTATTGATGGTGTTGACATTGAATTTTGAATCATGGGAGGAGATGGAGATGTATCGGATAATGTTGCTGATGAATTTTGATTTGTTGAGTTACGATATGTTGAATCAGTTAGATGGTTACCATTTGTTTCTCTGAAAAATACATATATATCAATTTTAAATATTTTATTAAGAGTTTAAAATATTTATGCAATCCGATTTAGTAGTACTTTCTAGTGGCGGATTTACTTCCGAAATCCTAGATCCGCCACTGGTGCTTTCATCAAGAATTCACTATTGTTACTCATATAAAGATAAACATTTTTCTCAAATGACTTCAGTAATCATATGTATATGTTCAACTTACTTTCGAGATTGTGAACGTGCTTGTTTTGCTTCATCTTCACGTTTCTTAGCTTCCTGTTCTTTGTACAATTTTTCCTAAATAAGCGATTTAATTAATCAATATAAATATATATATATTATTTACTTGTTCGGCTTTCAATTTTGCTTGTTTTTGATATTGCATAAAACGATCTTGTGCTACTTTATCATCAGGTTTGACTGTTGATGATGGCGCTGATGTAGTAGCAGCCGCAGCTGCTAATGTTAAAAAGTTATCTTTCCTTAATGAACTACCGCCAGTTAATTTTGATAGACTAGAATCCTAGAAAAAAAAGAAAATCGACATAGTTTTAATAAAAATATTCGAATGAATTGAATTCTACATACTCGTTTTAATGATTCTCCTTCACCGATTGGTTTCGATGTAGGTGAAGATCGTGGTGGTGAATCATTCGATAGATCATCATCATTTCCACCCAAATGAAAACTTGTTTGTCGTTCAGTCGATTCATTCACTAAAATAAACAAATTAATTTAGAAAAAAAAAACTTCATTTATTGAAATAATTCAACATACTTGTATTGCCACTATCAGTTACATTTGCACCTATATCATCTTCAATGCAAAGACAAATACGATTAAAAAATCGTTTCTGTCACTTTATTTATTTATTTATTTATATTCACCTTTTCTCTTTGTAAGATTATCAATATTGGTATCAACATGTGCCATTTTCTATTCAAAAGAAAAACAAAAATATATTCATTGATTTAATCATAACAATGATATTCTCCAGAAAGTAAAACCTCATTTCTGATATCTATAAATCAACTATCGTCTTAATTTTCAGTATAGAAATGCAACATCAATATCTTCTACTAACCTGATCTTTTGTTCTTGACGATACGTTAGCAGCACTTCCATTAGCAGCTGATTTGATATCGTCGGTGCCTAAATAAATCATTTTTATTTTCTTAATATATATATATATATACATCAACTACTGCTGTTGACTATTCATATTTTGCTGATCGTATGGACAGATCCTTTTTGAGTATGAAACGCAAGCCGTAAGACATAATTAGTTTTCAATTATTTTTTTATTCCTTTTGTTCGACTGAATATCGGGTTAGTTAATTTTTTTTTTCGAGATATAGAAAGAAACGAGACACAAATATACGTGCAATGTATACAGTTTTTAGCTCTAATATGCGACATGTAAAAAAAAACGAAACAAACTAATACACAATACTGATTTGCATGCGTTCGGACCCGGATTATAATAATAATTGTCGAATATCGACAATAAGAAGAAGTTTTTTTTGAAGAGTTTTGATGGATACCGAAGGGATATTTACATAAGCTCGAAACACGTATACGATCTCAATGATACACAGAGATATATAGGAAGAAAGAGATATGCCACTGTATATAAAAACAAAGAAAACAAAAAAAACGAAGAAGATTATTGTACATCGAAACAGATATAAACACATAAAGTGAAAAAAACAAAATTGATCATTCTTAGCGGTTAATTTCATAGAGGAAGACGAAAGAGAAATAGTTGCTTGTGTTCAAAAAAACAAAGAAAGAAAAACTTAAGCCGGGCCGAACGATATTATTAATCTACAGCTATTCGGTCTAAACTTTGCGCAATTATATATATGTAGGGTAGGTATATGTATATATGCATTTGACTATAATAAATATGAAGCGAGAGAGGAGATTAATAAAGGGAGAAAAAAAAATGTTTGTTTTTTTTTGTTTGCTTGTTTTCATTTCTCGAAAAAGGATCTGTCGAACAGCAGCAGCAGACTATTTCTCTTTTCATCCTGATCTCTTATGAGATTGGATAAAACAAAAACATATGAAAAACAAAATGAAGAGACATTTATATATATGAGAAAAGAGAATCATTAAAAAAAAGCAAATATATATTTATATATATATATATATATATATGTATGGATGATCTAACCTGACTCGGAGTCAGTGTCGTTTCCATTACGTGATGAATCAGAATCGCTTTCCGATGCTGAACTTTCACTTAAACGTTTCGATGATATTTGTGCAGCAGGTGCTGATGTTGATGGATGACTTGAAGAAACATTTGTAAGGCCAGCTGTAGCACCGGTTATTGAATTGAAATTCGAAGAATCTAAAAATCAAAACGAAAAATAATAAGAATTAATTTTTTTTCCAAACTAACAAACCTCGTTTTATCAATGAATTAGCTGATGATTGTTTCGTTTTAGTACCTAATTGTGTTTGTACTTTTTCAAGTCGTTTTTGAATTTCTTCTTTTTTCTGTGCATTTTGAGCTTTGGCAAGATTTCGTTTTTCAGTAGTAGCTATAATACAAAAAAATACAATTAGTTTTCATATTGAATAATAATCAAGCACAAGACAAAAATCACATTGACTAGATGAAATTAGAATCGAACAAGTTCACATAAGTGATAAGAATTACGCTAGTAAATGACTACTGAATCCCTACTAGATAATATAATCTTAAATTGTTGATGTTGATCTATTCATCATGCATGACTAATATATTATCTCTTTGTTTCATCTACATCTAATAGTTTAGTTTTAAATGGATTAATTATGAGCAAAGAAGTTATTTATATTCAAGCGAACATTAAAGTAAAAAGGACAATCTACAATTTCATTCACCTGCAGATGATGTTTTAGACGCTGTTTTTTCTAATAATATGAGAAGAGAAATAAAACAAAATAATTATTTCTTATTTAATATTTACCAGATGTATTTGGTTGTTTACGTGGTTTTCTTTTAATAACTTGATTTACATAAGCTTCTAATTCACGTAATGTAGATGGTTTAAGCATTTCAAAATCAATTTCCATTTCATCTGGACTTGAATCACGTAAAGATGGTTCTCGACGATGAATAATCTTTTTAAAGAACAAATTTTTTTATAATTAAATTAATATTTTTTATCATATAACAAACCTCAACAACAGGACCAAGTTTTTCACTCGGTAAATTATTGATATCAAGACTTAATTGACGTTTTTCTTCATAAGTCATTGGTTTAGGATTTTCTTCATTATCAATATCATATGTAGATACAATTGGTTGAGGAGGATTAGGATTTGTTGGCATTGCTGTTGCTATTGCTCCTGTTGCAGTTGCATTAGGTTTCTTCGATCTATTATAATATATGAATCAATTATATTTAGAATAATTTTAAATATTTATCTACTAACCGTGGTTTTGGTGCAGTACCACTTGCTCCAGCACCACGACTACCTTTACCAGAACCACGACCACCTAAACCTGCACTAATACCAGTCATTGGTGTTGTATTTTTCATTGGTTGTGGTTGTTTAGGCATAGTCATATCATTTGGAAGATATGGACCCGTATGGGCATTACTAAATTGACCTGTACCATTCGAAGCTCTAGCATTACTACCTGCTGAATATCCACTTGGTGTAGATGGTGTAAGTAAACCTTCAAGAGTTGTATCTTTTGTTCTTTTAGGAGCTGTAGGTGCTTGATTACGTGTAGCTGTTGGTGATATAGTTGGATGTGTATTAGGAAATGTATTTGAGGGAAACAAAGAACTTGCATTTGTTAAGGAAGATAAACGGTTTTGATCATTAAGTAAAGTTGATAGAGGTATATTAGTATTTGATAAAGTTGAAGTTTGTCGATGACCACGAGGTTTAGTATTATTTCTTTTAACGTTATGTTTACGTTTTCGACGTACTGCAAGACGATCATTTTCTTGTTGAATTAATTGATTTATTGTATCACCAAAATATTTTAACTTTAATTGAAAACAGAAAAGATAAAAATATGAAAATAAAATTATCAAAAGAAAAAAAAATTACTTGATTCTGAAGTGCATGTAATTGTCGTAAAGTATTTTCATCAGTTTGCATTTCTTCAACTGAACCTTCATCACTTGATCCACCTTCATCCGAACTAGTTATCATAGATGATTGTGGACCACCAACGCTAGTATTACTAAAATTTTTCGATGTTTTACGTATACGTTGTCGTGCTGAAGGAGGTATTGGACCATTATTGCGTACAGCACTTGTAGATGACAATGGATCAATTTCAAGAGTTGGCATTGGTGGTGGTGGTGGTGGTTCATCGGGTAATTTAGCATATTTATTTTCAAACATTTGCTAAAACAATAAATATTTATTTAATAAAACCCTATATAGTAATATCAGATCTAACTTCAAAATTTCAATTCTATCTAAGTCTAATACTTTTTTCCCTAAATATGAAATACTTCCGTTCTACTAGAATATGATAAGTATTCCTCAGGCAATAATATTACGAAATATATAGCCATCAAGTTTACTCATTCGCGATCAAAGTCTAATGTTATTTAAATAATCAATAAATCTTACCTCGACTTTTTTACACATAGCCACAACATCTGTAGTAGGTGCATTGTAAAGATAACAATTGCTAAATATAAGTCTAACATCAGTAGCACATTCGTCAGGTGTTGCATAATCACGATTCTCAAGTTTTCTCTTAAATAAAGAACAAAAAATAAATTCATTTTGTTTTTTTTCTTCTTTTATTCATACTTTCACTGTTCCAAGATCCATTGGTTTCTTAATAATTGTATAATAATCCAGCAAATTAAGATTTTCAACATCAACTGGCTTAGCAAATGGCCATACAAACGACTGATTAAAACAAACAAACGTTTTTTATAGAAATATGTCTATATACATATTAGTATCTATATTTACCAAATTTTTCTTATTTAATAAATCTTTAATAATACTGAGACAATATTTTAACTGTTCCGTCATACGATTTTTTGATCGTTTTATTGATGCCTATAAAGAGAAATTTGCATTTTATTCTGCGAATTTAAATTTAAATTCATACATCATTTGAATCAATTGAAAAACTACTATCATATTTCGTACGTTTGAATGGACCACTAACACTATTCGTTCGTCTTGTTGCACTATCACGTCGTGCAGTAATTTTAGTTGAATCATTATTAGTTGTATCATCGCTCATATCACCTTTTCGTTTCGTACTCTGAATTAATAATTAAAAGATGTTTACACAAAAAAATGTTTTTTTCTTCTTACTGATGATGATGTATCAAGACTGGGTTCAGGTGCAACTTTAGTTGCTATTGATGGATTACGTGTAGCTGTATTTGGCATTGATTGTGATGATGATATCAGTGGTGGTTGTTGTTGTGATGATGATGTTGGTGGAGACATTGGTTGTTCAACATGATCGATATTATTTGAATTTACATTAGAAGGAGAAAATGGTGATGTTACACCACTAGGATTTGTTGCTGACGATGAACGATGTCGAGTTAATGTATTAGTACCAGTTGGATGGGAAGTACTAGCTGAAGCAGCACGTGTTGCTATCGATGGAGTTGATGGAGATGCTACTGTATGATAGAATTTCATTAGAAAAAAAACAAATATGACGATTTTCAACAAAGAAAATTATTCATCGACAGAATTACGTCAGAAAAAAAATGTTGTGCAAGGTAATGTGGGAAGAGAAAAGAGCGACAATTTATATTCTTATATAAATTTTTGTCTTTCGCCGAAATTTATGATTTAAATGAAATTAACAAATTTAGAAATTTACCGATCAAACGATCAGTAGCTCGCTGAAGAATCAAATAGAAAAAAAAGTGCTTAATCATTATGATAGCGATAACTTCTATGACTCATATTTTCTTTTTCTTCCTCTATGAATCAGCGTATGTGTAGATCAATCAGATTAGAGAAGAATTTAAATGATGTGTTATCTCAATTTGTTTTTATCGTTACAATTAGATACAACAAATCAATAAAGAATCTCAATAATTCTCGGAAAAATGTTCATATCTTTTTCTTTCCCAATATGAGTACAATTCGGAAAAAACCCGAATTGTTTCATAAGAAATACTTGTGATAGACTTTTTAAGATAGAGATGTAATGAGATTTCGAATACATACATGGAGAATTAATACTTTCACTTGGTGTTGATGGTGAAATGACTGAAATTCCTAAATTTCCAGGTGCTAAACCTTTCGAAGCAGTTGTTTTTGACGATTGAGGTACAATTTCAATTTCCTATTAACAAAATAAAATTTTTCTTAATTTCAATCATATAATAATTCTTACATCTGACGGCATTTCAGCTAATTTTTCATAAAAAACTTGTTCAAGTGTTGCACCCATTATGACAACATCCTTATTTAGAAAAAAAAATACACATTGACAAAAAATATTCAATCATTAATTTACTTCGCCTGGTTTATTATATAAATAACAATCAGTAAACATCATATTTAAATCAGTTATACATTCTTTAGCACTATAATAATAATTTGTTTCTAAACGTTTTTTAATTGTACCAAGATCCATTGGATATTTGACAATTTTATGATAATCCTAAAACAGAAATTTTTCTTCAAAAATATAATTTCATTTTCGTCATAACATACAGGTAAATGTAATTTAGCAGCATTAACTGGTTTTTGAAATGGCCAAGAAAATTCATGTTTCCATAAAGTTTTAAATAAAACTTTTGACATAAATTGTAATTGATTGGTTTGACGACCACGTTTCGATGCTGGAATATGTGGTAATTTTAACGGATTTGCAGTTGTTGTTGTCTATGAATATGAATAGGAAAAACAAAAATGACATAAGAATCAATTAGAGAAAATAAATCACCTTCATGATGAATATAAGAGAAGGAAAATAATTTAATTTTGAAGAGAAAATGTTAATAAATGATGAGCCAATACTAATGAATTACAATTATCTGGCTTCATCTAGAAAACAAAGTAAATTATTTATTTATTTATTCTATTAATTATATTTGAATGAATATTCGTATGAAATAAATGAATGACAGTTATTGTTATTATTCAGTCAAGAAAAATCAACAAAATGTCCGAAACAAAGAACGATCGCCCTATTGTTTCCTTTGTTTATGCGCCTTCATAAACAAATTAATGCGTTTGAATGCATTGATGTGTTAGTTTTAGTTATTTCTTCTTTCATTCATGTACAGAACAGAACGGAAAGAAAGAGGCAATGAGACATATGAAGAGAAGAAATAAAGACAGAAATGTTCCTTCTTTTTTTTTTCTTCTTCTTTCTCTCATTCAATCAAGAGTTGTATATATATTCATGTTGACAACTTATGGCCCATTGCCAAATACGAGTAAATATGAGTAAAGGTAGATGTCGCAAGTATATTTTGTAACTTCGTTCCATACTCATATTTGTAAAAAAAGAAAAAGATTTAAGATACTATAATACAATTACACTCTATCTCGTATTTGTAGAAAGCATGAATAACCTTGCAATAAAAGGGGTCATTCAGTGTATTAACCAGACGAGAGAAATTGTGTATATATAAATACCATTAAATAAGAATTATGATTACTGCAAGGTAAATGGAATCGCATCATAAATCATACTTGTTATACTAATGAGTTAAAGCTTTACTGAATTCTCATGAATTTAAGCAAGGAACTAAAATTAACGTGAATTATTGATTCGTGTTTTACCCATCACAAGAAAGAGTTTAATATACTTGAATTGTCGCCAAATCGTTTATTATGAGTATGTAACAATAGGAATACTTGTCATCGTTTAAAGAAGAGATAAAAGTTATATTTAATTTTCTCTAAAGAATTCAAATAAACCGCTTATGATCGATAAATCATTACTTCTATTCATAGTATATGATAATTATATAAATTATGCATAAGTAAAGATAATTTCTATTAAGTCATATGATTATGTTTTGTTGACAAAAGATAAATACAAAACGAAACGAAAAGAAAAGTATTTTTGTTTTTATTTTTTTCTCCGTTCGTTTATAAATATATAACACACGCTATACGCCTTGTTTTATTCTTCGTTAAATAACTAAACACATGGTTACTCCATGTTTTGCTATTACTGGCGGTTGTGGTTATATTGGTCTGCGTCTTGCTCGTCATTTATTGGAAATAAACTACTCCAATACGGTAATTTTACTTGATATTCATCCACCACCTTCTAATGATGAGCAACAATTCAATTCAAATATATCTCGTCTAACCTATCGTCATTGTGATTTACGTTCGCATAAATCTGTATTCGAAGCTTTGTCTAATGTAACATGTGTATTTCATTTAGCCAGTTATGGCATGTCCGGCAGAGAAATGTTAGATCGTTCAATGATTTATGATGTGAATGTAATTGGTACAGAAAATATAATAAATGCATGTATTAAACATGGTATCAATAAAATTATTTATTGCTCGACTTATAATGCTGTCTATACAGGAAATAAAGAATTATTAGGTGTAACTGAAGATGAATGTGCATATCCATCACAAGAGAGCTATTATGATAACTATAGTCGAACAAAATCATTAGCTGAACAAATTATTTTAAAAGCTTCTTCATCAACACTTCATACCGCAGCAATAAGACCTGCAGCTATATATGGTGATGGTGAATTACGACATTTACCACGTATATTAAATTTAGTAAATCAAGGTTTAGCATTTTTTGCTGTTGGTCAGGAAAATATATTATGTGATTGGGTTTATGCAGATAATTTAGTTTCTGCATTAATATTAGCAGAAAAATCGTTACCGAAATATTCAGGAGAAGCTTATTTTATATCGGATGATTATCCAGTGAATAATTTTCAATTCTTATCTCAATTAACAAAAGGTTTAGGTTATGAGAATTGTTTTGCTTTTTATATACCTACTATAATTATGTTTTATCTTGGTTATATTATTGAAATCATACATAATTTAGTTGCTAAACGTATTTATAATTTTGCACCATTTCTTACACGTTCCGAAGTTTTAAAAGTTGGTGTTACTCATTATGCAAATATAACTAAAGCAAAAACATTATTGGGCTATCGAGTTAAAGTTAGTCCAGATGAAGCAATGCAACGATGTATTAAATGGTATGATGAACATGGATATAGAAAGAAAACAAATGAAAAACATCTAACTTATATTTGGTTATTAATTGCAAGTTTGATAATATTCTGGATTTTTGTCTTGCTTTTTTAATCACTTGATTTCATAAATATGTTGATTAATTTATAATAGAATACGTTTTTATAAAAAAAAATAAATTATTGACATTAATACTAACATATCAATAGTTTTTTTTATATATAAATTATCTCAATATGTAGAGACAATGTATTGAATGGAAGACTTAGAACTAGCGTAAAGCGATCCCAGAAATTATCCGAAACCGGAACCGCAGCTCTGGTCAGTGGAAATGAGAAACGAGCGGTTCTGGTTCAGTTTTCCGTTCCATTTTTTTTGGGACCGCCATACCTTACTTAAAACCTATTTGTTATACCTTCTCCATTGATTCCAGTAATCATTCTTTTCAGTGTAAGATGTTCGTTTAGTTGAAACAAAGAATTCAGATGATGCTGTAGTAAAATATAAACTGGATGATGACAAACAGTTATTTAGTTTTCACACTTTAGGAACATCTTCCAATGATTTTAACCGAATACGGTGAAAATCTGTTTCGATTTCTATGCGAATACAAGTATTATATAGGATAATCGATAATTTCGGTTGTTGTTTTATTTCTAATATCAAAATTCATTAATTTTAGTCCATACTTCTTCTGTTAAAATTTTTCCTATTCGTAAGCAATTGAAGATAACCTTCATATGTACATGGTGCTTAATAGCGAGCGTACGTCTTTTCGAAGGTACTATCATAAATATGATTGGTGTAGATAATAGACAAATGGAATTCTTTTCTATATGAATTTTCTTCAGAAAACTAATTTTCTTGTTTCTTCATTCTGATAGTTAATCAGTTAAATATTTTATTTATATTGTATAAATAACAAAAAGAAAAAAAAAGAAAATTATTATATTGATTTAGATCTATTATGTTTTCATTTTCATCTTGTTTTAAATTACAAGGTTTTCCTTCTTTTTTTTATTTACTTTTTCAGATAGAAAAAAGTTTCAAATGTCGACTTCAATTGTCGACGAACCTCTATCAGAATCTTATGATTTCTATGATGCAAAACAAGAAATTATTGTAACATTATATGCTAATGGTGCTTTCGAAGTAAAAGATATTGATATTGCTATTGAAACCGATTCACTTGAAATTCGTACACCAGGTAAAAAAAGAAAAGAAATTTTGTTTCCTATTGTCATAATCTGATTTCATTTAAAGCAAAAGAAATTTGGATATTTCAATTATGGGCACATATTTATTCTGATCGAGTTGAAATTGAAACAACAATAAATTCTTCACGAACACAAACATCAATTGAAATACGTTTAATTAAACAACAACCACGTGTTATTTGGCCACAATTATTTAGTTTTCATTCTACACCAATAACACCACAACGTGATGGACAATTAAATGCCTATGAAGATGTCAATATGTTAGATCAACAACAATATGATTTAGCAATAAAAAAGATTAAAACTGATTTTTTCGAATCAAATGAAACATTTACAACATATATTTATATAAAACAAGTACATGATTGTCAAATACAATTTACCGAAACAAATTTTACAGCTAGTTTTCAAACTGAGTATAAATATTAATAAGAAAATTACATTATGTTTGAATTATTTTCTTTATTCTAGTGATCAACAATTTCTTAATACACATTCGATAACATCGGATAAATTAATAAAATTATTTGTTCGCGTTAAAGAACGTATTATACCTACGAAATGTTCATTTAAAATAACACCAACACTTATTGAAATATTACTTGCTAAAGATAATCCAAGTAGTTCAAAATGGGGTCGATTAGAACCAAGTGAATATTCCGAATCACGTCCACTTACACAACAAACAACACCAACGACACCACCATCATCACCGATTTCTGCATCATCATCATCAACAAATATTAATTCAAATAAAGGTAAGATTTTTGATTATTACTAGTCATCTATTCAAGAATTTATTTCTAGCTATCCCATTACCACCACCTCCGCCACCACCACCACTTCCTTCACCATCTACGACTCGTCAAGTTAGTTTTTTTTATATGTAATATATCATAAGCACATGATAAATATTTTTAGCCAGAGAAATATCCTTCTGCATCAGCATTTGCATCATCAATTCATCAAAAAGATAATACGACACCAAGTGTATCTATATCATCATCATCAATTGGTTTTACTGGCATTCATAATCCAGCGAATTCATGTTTTATGAATGCTGCTGTTCAATGTTTATCTAATACACGTGAATTACGTGATTATTTTATTCGTAAGAAAAATAAGATTTATTTTCTTGTTAAACTTTCGATTTTATTTTTTATAGAATCTTATCATTTATCCGAACTTAATCGAACAAATCCATTAGGTATGAAAGGTACAATGGCGGAAGAATTTGGTAGTTTAATTAAAAATTTATGGAATGGAAAATATAATTGGACAAATGGAAATCGATTACGAGTATGTTAGATTTGATATTATAACGAATAATAAACAATTGATATTGTAGAGTTTAGCTTCTCAAAGACATCAAGAATTTGTTGGTAATGGACAACATGATGCACAAGAATTATTAACAATAATATTGGATGCTATTCATGAAGTAAAGAATAATTAAATAACAACAATAATTTTATGATTTATGTTTTATTTAGGATCTTAATCGAGTAGTAGTTAAACCTCAAGTACCACCAGTAGAAGATCAAGGTAGATCTGATCATGTAAGGATTTGATTTTGTTGTTTAAAGTAGAGAAAAACAAATCTTTTTATATAGATTGTTGCTGATGAATATTGGCGTGGTTATTTAAGTCGAAATGATTCGATTATTGTTCAATTATTTACAGGACAATTTAAATCAAAAACAAAATGTCCACAATGTCATAAAGTTCGATGGAAATATATATAAATCAATATTTTTGTTTCTAATATTTTATTATAGGAATCAGTTACATTTGATCCATTTACATCACTTTCTGTACCATTACCTAAACGAATAGCTGTGGATACAATTGTAACATACAGAAGTGATGAAAAACCACCAATTAAATATCGTATTGTCATGTCAGCAGATGGTTTAATTGGTGAATTTAAACGACTTTTATCTGCTAAATGTGGTTTACCAACTAATAAAGTTCGTTTTCATATTTTGTACAATTAAATATGAAGAGTTTCTAATATGATTATAGATGTTAGCATATAAACTTCGAAGTAATCGTAATGTAGAACATCTTAAAGATGATGATCGACCAACATCAGCTGGTTACACATGGAATAATAATGATATTATTTACATGTAAGTTATAAATTACATCTAACAAATTTTTAAATAGCCATATTTCAGGTCAAAAAAAAGTGAGCTCCAAATTTGAAGTTTACGAGTTTTTCGACAAATTGTAGCTTGTAACTGTGTGCTTTTTTTCTTGAACACTACCAGTCTATCTATTAGAGCAATCAAAAATAGATGATTATAGTTCATAGATAGGGTTTTTCGCGAAAAACTACACATCCGTAAACTTCAAATTTGAAGCACAGACTCTTATTTCATTAGTTCTGATTTGACAATGTCTTAATTTATCGTTTATGAGTATGAAAGTAATTCTAACTATGCCAAAGAAGGTACGATAGGTTTGTGTGAAGTTGAATAATTTTGAATTATCAATAAAGTTAACAAAAGTCTTGTTATTTTATATTAATATGATAGTTATGTTTGTGAAGATTCTGTAATCCTTTACTCTTCTCAGTGGCGGATCTAGGATTTTAGAAGAGGGGGGGCGATTTTGGCTAAAACCTATTTTTTCGTTCATTTTTGCTGTGAAAAATCAAAAAAAAATTCTGAAGGGGGATGGCGGGCGGTCGCCTCACTAAATCCGCCACTGACTCTTGTATTAAACTAGACAGTTTTATAATTAGATCTTTTAATAAACTTCAATCTATTCTTATAGAACAGAAACATTAACAAGTGCTGAATGTAATAATGAACCAATTATCCATTTAACATTTATTCAACGTGTATTTAAATTATCTGAGTATGTTTCATCATGTGGTTATTGTCAAGCACCACCTAATCCTCATAGTACATCAAAATTTTGTCTTAATTGTCATCAAGTATCGTATTGTGATGAGTAAGTTATTTTGTTATATATCATATGTTTTTATTATTTAATTAATCATTATTAGTGTATGTCAAAAACTTCATGCAACAGAACATAAAAATTATTGTGGATTTCGTTTATCAGATAATTATGAAATCATTGGTATTCCGTTTATTATTTCATTACCGGAATCAAAATTAACATGCGAAAATGTATTCGAACAGATTAGTATTTATGCTAAGTAAGGTTTTTTGCATAGACAAAAAAAATTCGAGATTTATTTTGTTTTTATAGACGTAGTGTAGATATTCATATAGAACGTTCAAAACATAGTCGACGAGCAATACTAATAAATGATGATTATGATCGTATTAATAGTGATCTCGAAGATGATGAAGATAGGTAAGTCAAAAAATGAATTAATATAATCATTAGTTTCGAAATTGATTATTATATATTTTTAGTTTTAGTGACATTGAAAATGTTGATTGGCCAACAATAAAAGATACACTTTCATCATCTGATTCTTGGTCTATATGTCGTTTAGGTGATTATTTTGTTAAGATTGGAAAAAATAAACGTCGTCGTCATCATGATGATAATAAAACAAATCATAAAGAAAAAATCTTAAAAAATGATGTATTAAATAGTGATAGTAATAGTAGTACTGAAGATTTTGATATGCTTGATGATATCTATGGAAATCAACCATTATTTCGTTTAATGCCACAAATATCAAATAATTCAGCGAATAAAATCAATAATATTCAACCAATTGTCGAACCTGGTAAAAATCTAATATTAATATAAAAGATACAAAAAATTCCTTTTTTTATTAGGTCGTGATTCTGATAAGATCTTACGTCATACAACATCATTTTCAATTGATTGGTTTACAGATAATAAAAATGAAGCACCATTACGTGTTATACCATCAAAACATCGCAATGGTATCAATGGTCTTATTGAAGATGATAGTGTACTTGATTCATCTTGTGGTGGTATGAATAATTTTTCAATATAAATCTTTTTCACTTATTTGAAAATATAGATCAAGAGATAACACTTCAACAATGTCTTCAAATGTTTATTGAACCTGAAGTATTAGGTCCAGATGATAAATGGTATTGTCCACATTGTAAAGAACATATGCAAGCTGAAAAGAAAATGTCTGTTTGGCGTCTACCACCAATTCTTATTATACAACTTAAACGATTTAAATATTATCATGGTCCATCGTATGGTTATTTATCAGATTCAAGAGTTAAAATTGATACAAATGTTAAATTTCCAGTTCAGTATGTATTTAAAATTAATAAATTTTCAAAGAATATACTTATTTCTTTTAAGTGATCTTAATATGGGACCATATTGTTCATCGACTACAGATTCATCTCAAACTCGTTATGATTTATTTAGTATTATAAATCATCGTGGTAGTGCATGGTTTGGACATTATACATCTTATGCAAGACTTTTATCTTACAATGATCCAGCTAAAACTGAAATCGGTAATAGAATAATATTTCTTTTTCAAATAGAACAATACTTTAATTTTAATTATTTTAGGTTGGAGAAATTTTGATGATGAACATGTATCATCATTATCAAATGATAAGGATCTTGCTCGATCTGATGCTTATGTTCTTTTTTATCGTCATCGTCATTTACCTGTACATCTTAATATTAATGAGCAAAATTCATCATCACCAATATCAATGGATACATACGAAGATGCAGTATCAACGGATAAATATGGTGATACAGTAATAATGGAATCATCATCATCTTCAATGAAAGATATAAATGATCTTTTAAGCTAAACAAAAAAATAAAAATAAACCTTCTAGTATTAATCGAGACCGTTTGACTATATAATAACAAATGGTTAATAAGACATTGTGATTCTCTTTTTCTCACTGCTTAGACAACGCGTTAAGTTTCTTTTGTACGAAAGCATCCCGTGTGTGTGTGTACTCTTCTTCTTTTTCTTCTGTTTTTTTTTATTATTTTCGCCTAAAAAAGAGAACGTTTATAAAATCAAAATGAAATTATATTAATGTATATCAAAAGTAGATATTTTTGAATGAACGGTGAGTATTATATTTAGCAGTAAAAACTGATTTTTTCATCAAATCAACAATATTTTATAATTGATTTCAATTTGAAAATCTTCTAAAAGTATCAAAAGGAGAAGATCGATCTATGTACATAACAGTTAAATTATTAGGTATGTCATGAATAATTGGTTGTGTGAATGTAAACCTATGGAATACTGATATTTTTCATAGTTTTACTTTATTATTAATATATTTTACATGATCATCAATCATAAAACAAAATTGGTTTTAGATTTGACTATCACTAAATTACAATAATGCAGAATGCTCACAAATATGTACTTTCGAAATAAAATCTGGTTTCTATTCAAATCTGTTCAATTTGTATTTCATATATTCAAGCCAAAATAATCAACTCACGAGGAAACCTTACCAACTGTTCAATCGCTTTTTTGATACAAATCATTGGGATCGAGGTTATCAACCATGCTGATTCCGCATATGAGTATGAGAAATGCTTAGGCCTTTATAGGAGTATTTTCTAGAAAACCGGTTTTGTAAAAACCATATACTTTTTACTAAATGCTGTTTTTTATTCTCTCAGATTACAGAGCATACCGAGCTGCTTGTGAAATGGCAGTTTCTCCTGTTTTGATAAAATGAACTCCAAGGGAAACAATATAAACTTTTGTATTTTGGTATTAAGTTGTTATGATATGCACCTGTTTTATAGATTTACTTGGCTGTATTTTCTCGAATATTCTATCTGAAACAGAAAGAGTTGTTGTCTCATAGATAATTCGATACGCTCTGTAATATAAGCGAATAAAAATCAACATTTAGTAAAACGTATGTGATTTTTATAAAACCGGTTTTCTAAAAAACCACCCTGGAAAGGCCTATAGACATTTCTCATGCTCATTTTCGGAATCAGCATGGTTGATAACCTCTATCCCGATGGTTTTTATCAGAAAAGCGATTGAACAGTTGGTGAGGTTCACTCGTTAGTAGTCTTTTTTTTTTATCTCAGATGGATTCATTTTCATTAGGTTTTCTAGTGAAAAACTTATTTAGAATATAAAACTCAGAATTATTTTATTAGTACAACAATTTAAACAGATTTAAAAAGCTTGTTCAAGAAATCATTTCATTTATTTAAATAGCTGATTATAGATAAGCAAATCGCAATAAGTTTAAAGAACATTTGTTTTTTTCTTTCATACAGCCAATTAAAAGTAAATCGATCAACAACTTTTATTAATAATTATTCTTTGTCAACAATATTTCATAAACATCATCTAAATTACTATCCAAGTGTAATGATATATTCAGCATTTCATCATAATCATTTATTTCTTTTTCTATCCCGATTATTTATTTTTTCATTTTACTATTTTTTTATTGAGACTGATGAGGCAAAATTAGGAATATTTTTACTTCCAGTAAGAAAACAAACAGGACTCGTTTCTATTGAAAAAAAATAGTGAACCTATTCTATGACATATGATAGTTTTCATCATTTTCGTTTTTCTATCAATCATAACAATTGTAATACGATATGCTAAGACTGTTACTCTTCTTTAACTGTTAATGTGAGTTTGATTTATTCTTGGATAATAATCATAACCATTAGGGGTAGGACAGTTCTATATTAGTTCCGTTCTTAGGAACTGTTTAATAGTTCTATTCAAAGAACTGTTGGTTCAGTTCAGTTCCCTTCAAAAGAACTGTACAGGCAGTTCTTTTGACCAGTTCATCTGAACTTGGAACTGCGAACTGTCCTATCCCTAATAATAATAATAATAACGTCCCATAGGCTTATCGCCCTTAGGGGCCGGCCGCGGTTATTATTAGAGTTTTCCACATGCAGCCGGGTTCTGTCGTCTTTTTCTTTTTACAGACGGCGGTATCTGCACCCTCTTCCGTCCAACATACTGACTAAAGATAACCAGTATGAATGACTCATGTGGAATGAGTCATTTTAGACAACTTAGCCGTTAGTGACTTGTCCAGGGTCATTCCATGGATGATGTTACTGAGGTTTGAACACAGTACCTTGTGGATACGTGTCGAACAACGTAACCACTCAACCATGGCGGCCCTATCCCTAATAACCATATGAAAAAAAGAAGAAGAAAAGAGAAAATAACATGTATGTACATATATATTGAAATCGATTATCAATAAAACTAGACAATGAAATATGTAAGAAAAGAATTCTGTCGTTACACAAATTCACTAAATAATTGTATATTAAATAAAACTACAATTGAACAGCGTTTTAGAAGATAAAAGCAGCTTTGTGCTCATACTTCTACAATAATGAAAGGACGTGGTCCATCGAGTGGAATATCAGAAGATGTTCTGGTCGTTTGGCGTACTCGATAACGAACTTTGTTGATTATTTGCCACAAACGACTTATTATATGAGACCGGTTTACCAATATGAAGAATATTAGCGATAGACCACACATAACTAAAAATGTCACAAATAAACCACCCATTACTTCAATGGACGAGCCAGTAGATGTGTCTGATGACTGAGAACAAGTATTTGATTGAAACCATTTGCTTTTCAAATTATCAATTGTTCCTGATTCTCTTAATGATAATATATTCACATCTAAAACTTGTTCATATACCCAATTTTTCTGGAAAACAATACCAAATGCACTGGGATCAAAACCTGTGCCAACTAAAGTTAAGTTACAATAATTACTACTCGTTTCATATTCTAAAACACCTTCATCCATAATGGCTGCATCAATCACTTTAGACAAGAGACTAGTAAATATTGCTCCTTCTGTTCTTAATGGATAAAAATTTCGAATACCATTAGAGATTTCCTGCAAATAATAAGCTTCAATGGCCGAATTAGTAACGATACCAATGCGACCATATGGTATTTTTCCATTTTTAATATCATCTATTCCCGAAATAATGTTTTGCGTCTGTCTAAGAGTTAAATTAGATGTTAAAGTTGCCTGATATGTTGATATTAAGACAAGACTTAAAAAGAATACACTAAAAGTTAAGAATCGACCAGCACCTGTTCTCACAGAATAATCCACACCAAATCCCATCATTGTTCCAAGAGGATACCATATACTCATTACAATTTTAGAAGGGATTGATTTATGCCTCAATATGTCATTGGCATTTCTTTCGAATAAATACGTTAATATAGCAGACAAGATAATAGAACCCAGGATACATAAGCGAACTTGCCATGAAAATGGCCTTAAATAAAACCAGAAATCTGAACTAGCTGAGGCTGTATTTCGAACAATGATTCGTAATGAATTGTCATAGATTGAATCAGTGAAAGAAACTTGTTCTCTTCGTGCAGCAAGAATTGTTACATCACCTGCTACTATATCATAAACATTATTTGCTACATCGTCTATGAGTCCATTGTAGCTTTGAGTTGATGGTAACAAAGTAATGTTTGGAATGAATCCCATATTTGTTTGTAAAATAGCAAGAAGATCAGGTATATATCCAATTAGTTTTGTTGTTATTATTCCATTTATATCTGCTACTTGTTGGGTCATTGTAAACGGAGGCGCTTCAATTACAGCAATTCGTAAGGTTACACCTGCAATTGTTGCATAACCTGTGGGAGCTACTAATGACTGCCCAGGCCATATAATCGTATTATGTTGTGAATGTGGTGTCCAAGCATCTGAACTAGACGATACTAATACTGGAACATAATTTAACTCATTTGATAAGCTCTGAATATTTTTTACAATATAATAAATACCACTAACTCGATCTGTTGAATTAGTACTAAATTGTACAAGTCCAGATACACCAAGAAATGTATTATTGTTAATCATATCAAACAGTGAACTGGAATCAAGTACACGTCGATTAAAACAAAATGAATCATTGACAATTGATAGACATGGAGAAGAATGATTATTCGTGATTGAACAAAGTTGTTCTAATGATCGGATCAATAACCAAGTTGCATCAAATGTAAATAATGCATAGGCATTCACATTTTCTGCTCCAGGAAATGTTTCAGGTTCATATTGTTGCCATATATCATATGCTGCATTTAATAATGTTGTATTTGTTGGTTCATTAACAGCACTTGCAACTACGGGCTCTATAGTCAATATTCCAATTAACTTTGTATTATCTGCTTGACTAAACGACTTTAATTGAACAGTTGAACCTAATATCCATGTAAACTGTGGTCCAAGTACATCACAATCTATTGCCTGTTTTAAAATTAAAGATGTATAATCTGTCTCGGCCCATAATATAACATTTCGAATTGGACTACTAAGTAAGAGACTTTTAAGATCACCTCGAATAGTATGTGTCACAGTATCAAACATTATCATTTGTGTAATTGTCAAATTATTATTATTGAATGCATTAGTTATTACTTTTGCTCCATCAGATCCATATGCATCATTCTGATAGATAATTATAGATGATGTCCAATTAAATTTCATAAAAAGTTGAGCAATTGTTAATGCAGCTGTAGTATCTGATGGAACTGTACGATAAAAAGTAGGATAAGCTCCTCGATCAGACAGACCAGGATCTGTTGCAGAGTAGGATACTACAGGAATGGAAAGTTGTGCAGCAAAAGGTGCAATAACCTGAGTTTCTCGAGAGAATGTTGGTCCCACAATACCAACAATGTTTGAAGTTGATATTAGTAGACATGAGCTGCTAAGAGCATTCATTGTTATGCCACCACTTGCTACTAGCTGTGAACCAATAAATTGTCCATCAATTGTTATATTATATTGCTGAGAAAGCAATATCGCTGCGTTGAACATTGCACGAGACCAAAGAGTTCCTGGAGTGAAATCATTCATATTCAATCCATTGCCAAAAATGCCCAATAATTGTATACTGGAGGAATTAGATGCAGGCCAAGCCGTTCTCACATTTGATATAGCAAATTGACCAATTAAAAAATATACCCACAACCATCTTAAACTCCACATAGATGACATCAAGACTTGTTTATACTAAAGATCTAATCAATGAATCAAATCTGAAGAGAAAGCATGAAACTATACATACAATATCCTAACTTACGAATTAGTTTAGTTTGTTAATTCAGCATTACATCTAGCGTTTCTTGTCTTAGATTTAGAAGAAAATGAGCAAATTTCATTATTTTTCGCAACATCTAATAAAAAATAGATATGTCAATAGTATGTATTTTTAGTCTATTAATTAATTATAGAGAGCGGGATGTTGTATTTTCTTCTTAATTAATTGACTTGGAAAGTGGAAAATTGAAAAATAAGATCTTATTAAATTTAATGTAGAGAAATTACAACAATAATATCTAGCTAAAAATGATCACTTACTATTATTTGAATTAACTGTCTTTTTTCCTATAGATATGTATTCACTTGTAAAGCTCAGTTTATACTTGATCTCAACATAAGAGAGGGATCAACAAGCTAAAATAACTAGGAATTAAAGCTATTTTATATATAATACTCACCTGGTATATATAAAACTGTAAAAAAAAACTTCATATTCTCTAAGGAATAGATAATACATACATGTGCATATAGGTAGCTTTTTATATACCCAATGATGACACATAATTAGTCAATGATGGACGGCTGAATGCATACAGACACATGTTTTTTTTCGTTCTGCTCTTCCTCATTTAGGGTTTTTTCCTATATAACGTTTTTTTTAAGCCGTTGATGGTCTTTTTTTTTCGTTACCCAGGTATCTTCAACATCACTTTCTTCACAGGTCATTGGCTATATTTTTACTTATTTGCTTGGTTTTTTCCAACTATTTTGGGATTTGTCCACTTCATTCATGCATACAAATGTACAAAAAGTCATGCTCACGTAAGAAATACGTGTAAACACCAGTAATTACATAAACCATCTTGAGGGTGTGAGCACTTGTAATGGTAGGAATAGCTTGTTTTGATTCAGCATCAAATTCATGTAGAATGATTTTTTTGTTGAGCTCAAACATTTCATGATGTAACGGATGATAAATTAATATTACTGCTATTTTATCAATGTGTATATCATCTGTGGACTATAAATGACTTTTTTCTTATGATAAAGAGCTTTGAAAAGAAATATTCCAGTAAAATAAGAAAGGTTTTTTTTTTATAAATAATATAAGATTTGATTCAGAGTTTTACCTGTTCGAAAGTAAGTTAGTAAAGATAACAAGAAAGAAAAGTACAAGTTTATTAAATCTTCCTAGTAGTGTCCATACAGATACAAAATAAAATTATGGATGTAACTCAAACTGATATTTGAACAAATTGATCAAGGCAAAGCTATTTAAAAATATAATGATTTTTAAAAATTATTTCAAATATTTGACAAGTTTCTATTGTATTCCAAAACATAATTGAAACAAAACTATGTTTTGTTTTGACCAACTAAACTTTGTCATAGATGGTCGATTGTGTTCTTAATTGAGATGAAAATGTTTGACTTGTATTGTACATGAATATTCTTTGTAGACATCTTTAACTATAATTAGAACAAATACTATTAGTAACTGGAATATTTCTAGTATAATAAGTTTCGGTACATTATGTGTTGGTATTCATTTGTAGGTGATTGTAGTACATATTTTCCTGAACATACATGTCAATCGAAAATCTTTGTGTTTATTCATACTGGCAATTTTCTCTCACTAATTCCATTACAATTTAATTGGTGTAACTATTTATTCAGGAACATATACAAATTAGAAATGCTCTCGTGTTTATAAAATAAATATTGTTGATAGATTGCTAGATGCTAGTATATCATCTATCGAATAGTAGATATTGTTGCTGCAAGCAACATCAAGAATGCATTAACGTCATTTATTGTTATTGTATTTGAAGAGCATTTCATATTTCGATGTTGTTCATACGAAAATTATAATTTTGCTATTCGAAATAATCGAAAAAGATTACCAGTTAATATCGCTGCAATTGAATGTGATTTAATTCGAGTACTGGGATTTTACTTGGAATATCATAGACTTGATAACAAAAGTGAATTCCTAAAGCTATTGTAGTAAATAGTGATAAACATCGTCTATATCTAGAATTTGTGTGTGAATTTAGTTTGACAGCAATTACTTTTTCTTTAATTGAATTTTATTAAATGATAGATTATTCTGTAGTGTTTCATTACTTTATATGTGAACAATTTTTAATATTATATTTAATAAATCATTCGATATTTATCGACTTTCGAACGTAGATGAAATCTATTCAATTGATTACAGATAATTATTTTGATTATTTTTGAATAAGAACAACGAAAAACTACTTATTTTGATAATAATGCTGAGGCTAGATTTCTCTCAAATATATTCAACGAACAAAATATGATCTTATTTGTAGTTGATGTCGTACCATGTGCTTTCAAATATGACGAGTTTTATCGTAGATTAGCTTATAATACAATTTTGAACTTTATTTTATTAGCTTTTGTAAAATTGTTTCATATAAACTTGAGTGATGCTTATGAATGACTGATGAATTTTGGAAATATCTTTTTTGAACATGATGAAAATGACAACTCCTAGAAAATATGTGGTGTGTAAAGCATCATAAAGACATAGATGTGGGTTATGTATTTTATCTCTAATTCATCTTTACAATTACAGTAACACTTTCCATCATGTTACACAGAATCCATTGTTCTATAAAATAACATGGAGGAGAGAGAAAGCAAAGAAAAAAGACAGAAAAAAAAGAAGAAGGAGAAGGAAGTGCATATGCACAATATAGCTATGAGAATTTCTCATGTAAAACGCATGTTTCATATTCACAATATTTATCAATGAGTATGACATTGTGTGAGAATAATATCATGTAAGAGTAGTGTGCCGATCGACACGCTTAGGGATGAAAAAAACTAGTGAACTAAACTTAATTAACTGTTGAAGAGAAATGAAATATAAGTCATATATGATTCGATACTCTACATAAAATATGAATCGAAGTGATCTATAGATACTTTTATAGGGTCTTTGATGTTGTCATTAAGAATAAAATATCACATCAAGAAGAATCGAAGCTAATGGATGATCGTAGTAGTAATCAGATGCATGAATACTGATAGTTTTATTTTGTTCAAAATAATATTCAAGATCACTGAAGAGAATTAAAAATCTGCATGTGAAAGTTATAATGTCTTATTTATAGTTCAAGACATAGACTTCTGGTTTTCCGGTAACATTGTATTGAATATATCTAATAATCTGTATTAATTTTAAAGAATATATTTTCATTGAATGGTGGAATCATAAATATTGAAATTATTTCAGAATTTCAATGACATCTTGTTGATAGAAAACGAGAGTGCTAACTTCAAACTTTTTTCTTCAGAACAGCTGCAAGGCATGCTTCCATTTATTGTAAGAAAAAGCATGATATAAGAAATAAACACTCAAAGATCAGTAAAAAAGTGAATCGTATTTAACAACTGTCTTTGAAAATGCCTGGAGTATTTGTATGATATTGTTTAAATGAGTTTTGAAAGTCAGTGAATATTATGTGATCTAATTGAGAAGAGTCATGCGTCTGTTTTGGTAGAACATGGACATAAAATCAACAATTTGTTGTTTTCTTAATGTTAATCAACGATAAATTCATGTCAGAAGTCATTCACATCATCTCAAATAGTATTTATGAGTTAAAAAAATGTGAAAACCAGCAGTTTCATTCGTTTTTCTTTCTTCTATTCAATTATGACTATGATAATTGAAAAAGAAATTTTCTTATCATTCTTCTCGAAACTCAGTGTTGATGATTTTTTACGATTCCTTCTATCAATAATAATAGATATGATACAAGTCAGACTAAATTCTGACGCACTCTGAAATGCGACATCCTTAATACTTTCTCATGCAAACCGATTTCCGGATACATGAATCCAAGACCGATTGAAACCGTATAGTAAATCGGTATCGGTTAGAAATCAAATACTCGAATGAAATTTTAATAAAATATATCATTCAAAAACTGATAGAAGATCACAACCGACATAAACTAAAATCTGATCTTCTGCTGTTTCTTTGTATATATGAATATATTCTAAATTATTTAAATAACTTCTAACATGAATTTATTACTTATCACTATTCAGTAGACACCACGAAAACAAATTGCTGATTTTATTAAATAGTTTTCGACAAATCACATGTATAACTTTTCTCAATTAGATCATGATAATATTCCCTGACTTTTTAGAAGTCATTCAGACAATGTACTATTCACTGACTTTTATAACTGAAGTATGATATTTTAATATTCACTGAGTTTGCACAACTCATTCAAACAACACGAGAAAAACGCTCATCTCATTTGGAGAGACAGCTGAAAGATACGATTCAACTTTTTTTGCTATTCCAGTGTTTCTCTCTCGTCATGTTTTCTTTAGCAATAAACGAAAGCAGGCCTTACAGCTGTTCAGTAACCATCAAGGTAAAATTCCAAATTGGCCGAAAGTAAAATCAAATTTTATTTCTATAAATAATAAGGTACTACAAATCTACCGATAGCAATCAAATCAATTGAAATATTAGATTTTTATTTATTGAATATAATTAAGTTAATGAGATACATTATTTGGATTTGAAAAAGAAAAAACATTATGTTATCTGAGCTTAGTTAATATTGATTATAATGTTTCATAAATTATATTTTTCAGTAATAGTAATTCTATTATTGTTTCCATCATAACCACCAGTAGTTAATACAAAATTATTTAATAAAACAGTTTGATGATAATTTCTTCCATGATTTAACATCAGTGTACTTGACCAACTTCTTGTTACAGGATCATATAATTCACATACGAGTGGATATGTAGTTGTTGTCCAATCAGCACCACCAACTGCTAATACTTTACCTGATGGTAGAAGTGTAAGTGTTAATAATCCTCGACGATACTGCATTGATCCAACAGTTGTAAACGTTTGTGATATTGGATTATAAATCTCAGCAGTTAAGAATGAATTTGATGTACCGTCACCTCCACCTGCAATTAATACAGTTCCATCATTTAATAATACAGCAGCATGATAAGCTCGACTTTGATTCATATTACTGGCTAAGAGAATCCAAGAGCCATTAATATAAAGTTCTGCTGTTGAAACGAGAGAACTACTAGCATTAATACCTCCTGTAACAAGTACAGTAAATCCATCACTAAAAAGCGTACTTGTAAAATAAGATCGTGCTATATTCATATTAGTTGTGTTAATAAATGAGTTTGATGATGGAATATAAAGCTCGACTGCAGATGTACTTATATGTGAAATGCTCCATCCGCCTGCAATGAGTATTTGTCCATTTGCAAGTAGTGTAGCTGTGTGTGAATCACGATTACCTGACAGATTGTTTGCTATTAAGTTCCATGTATTTCTTACAATATCATATACTTCGGCAGTATGTAAATTGGATGAAGTGTCACTACCAGCAACTAATACTTTAGTATTATTTGCAAAAGCAGTAACAGTATGGGTAGCACGTGTTGCTATCATCGAAGCTACAGGTAGCCATCCGGTTGATGTATAAACTTCAGCCTGTGAAATTCTTGTACTGGAATTAACGAGACCTCCAGTTACAAGAAATTGTCCATTTGCTAATAATGTACTTGCAAACTTAGATCGTCCGTAGTTAAGCGGCATATCTATATTCCAAAAGGCTGATTGATTAGAAGTCGATGTTTGAATGTTGTTATCTATAAATATAAAATAATCTTATTCATTTCTTTTTCTTCCTCATAAGAAATATAGATTAAATCTTATATCTTGAAATAATACTCTTTTCAAATAATATATATTTACTCGGTATACATGACAAATAAACATTTCATCAAATTATATTAAAATTCATGACTGAACGATTCTTAATAAGTTCTATTTGATTCTAGTTAGACAAATTGTATAAGATAATGTTTGTCAATGACTTACTCATCATTGTGCTAGTGATTTGCATAGATGATGGATTATTTGTAACTTGCGTACTGGTTATTCCTATCGCTAAAAAACAATAATTACAACTTTATTATATTATGTTTATAATTAAAGATACGTACTTGTTGACATATCTGTCTTCACTGTTGTTGTTGTTACACCTATAAAGTAAAACAAAATTGTATGAGTTCTCAATAGTCTCATATGTTATATATATATATTGGAATAAAATTAGAACTTCGATGTATTGATAAAATATCTTATGTATGAGCAAAAGACACATTATATTCCCTTGTTTCTAATTCATCTTCTACATTCATAATACTCGTATTTTGAGTATTTATGAAAGTTTCTAGAGTTTACAAATCAAATTTAGATTTATTTTACTTGATGTAAAGAAGTCATTTTACTTATCATTTCTTGTGTCCTCATTATCGTGGGCATTTCGATGGACACTACATCAAGCGATATATTACATACAGACTCAATAAAAAGATTCAAACTTTTATTTTATTCAGAAAGTTGTTTACCTATGAAAGAATTTTTGACGTTACTTTGCTATATGTAATAATTTTAAGGTGTTAACTTACTCATGGAAACTGTTGTTGATTGTGCACTGCTGTCACTTGAACTGATTAGATACGAGCTGCTTGTTGAATAATCTAAATAAACAATCTTATGATATTTCTTGTAAAACATTTTACTTTACCTGTTGTAATGGTTGGAGTTGATGTCTGAGAACTACCCGTAATTATACTTGTTAGTAACGACTGAGAATGACCCGTACTCAATATTGTTGATGGAAATTTAGAATTCTCTGTTGTCATAGTTTCAGACAACACATTATTATTACTTGTCAAATCTAGTAAACAAATATTTCATATATTCATTAGATTCCAATTATTAGATATACCTGTAAGTGATGTGGAAGATACAATAGCTGTTTGGCCTAAAAGAAAGATTACAAAAAAATAACTTAGAATAATAAGCCCTCTTATTTTAGAAAGTTCGTTCTATTGAAAAGAGTAGTATCATTTGAATCTAGATATTTATACTGATACTCCTACAATATGTTAATCATAGTAAAATACTTGGAATTATTGAGATATCCTTCGAAAGAAATCTAAGCTATTGTGTTGTTCAACTATAAAGATAACTATTTTTTTATAAACAAATCACCCATTGTTATATTCATCAACTCCGTTATAGTTTCTACAATACCTGTTGTTCCAGCAATGTTTTGATTTGTACCTAACAAATAATATTTTTTCATTTCTCTTTTTTATTATTTCAAAATGATTTTACTTGTCATTCCATCTAGAAAACAAAAATCTAATGGTGATTAAGTTTTCAATAATACTCTAAAAAGCTACCTTGTTTATTTATCATTGTTAATTGATTTGTATTAGTTGTTCCCATATCTTGCTTCGTACTGCTCGCCAACGTTGTATAAAGACTAGATTTCATTGTGCCTTGAAAAGAAATTTTCTAAATTATTCACACTACTTATCAATAAAGATATACTTGTTATGAAGATTGATGTTTGAGCTAAATTAAATAAATATTCAATCTAACATTTTCCTTCTATACAAAACTGACTTACCATTACCAGTCGTTATTATCTTTTGCCCTGTCGTATCTATATTTGTTGTTTGAAAAGTGGATTGTACGGTATCTCAAAATAAAAATAAAGAATAATAGTGAAATAAAATAATGAATAGACATACTTTGAGCATTCTTTGTTGAGGCCGTTACCGGTGTATCTGAAACAAAGAATTAGTAATTATCTCATACAAAAAGTAACTTACATGTCGATATACTAGACGTCGAGTCTTTTACTGAGTATGATGTACTTGTTGTTGGATTGCTGAATTGATCTAAAAAAGTAAATTATCGGATTTTACAAATTTATTTATTTATATTTACTTGTTTTTGTAGTAAAACTATTTGTTGATTGACTATTATTACTACCTAAATCAATAAATAAATCTTTGTAGAATTATGAACAAAATTCAAACTAACCATTAGAGATTGTTGTTGTGTTCAATGTACTAATTGGTGCAACTTCATGTGTTTTAGAATGCTGTACAAAGTAAGCAATAAGTGATATTGCGATTGCTGAAATAACAATGGTAGTGAAAATAATGATAAGTGTAAGTTGTTTCATTTGTTTTGAGACAATCTTTGTATCTTCTACTTTGTTTCCATGACAATTCACTTATTTTGTATAAACTAGTGTTGATATCTAAAAAATGAGAAATTCATAATAGTTCATTTGTCTTATGTAGTTGTTAAAAGATAAAAATAAAATTGCTTGTTAACGTAGTTTATTTTTTAAAGTCATGAGTAGAAAGAATCTATCAATAATTTTTTAAAAAAAGTACGCATGATATTTGATATTGTCATAAGGTAAACAGCGACTGAAGAGTTTTTGATATACGAATCAATATAATATTCTAATGAATATAAACAAACATATTTCTAATTCACATTGTTCGGCTGTCAAATAACATAACAAAGAAGTTATTTTTAACAACGTGAGTTTTACATTTTGCTGAGTTGTTTAATACTTGATCTATTCTGACTAAATAATGGAATAATTCAGTTTTAACTTATTCAAAAAACAATATTCATGATTTTTCTGCCTTGATTGAATGATTTTGACATTGATTGTTCAGAAAATTAAATAAGTAGTGACCATTTGAAAATATGAAAATTATAAATAATATTATTTTGAATTTTTATACATTCTTTAAGAATTACTTTCTTTTCTTTCCATTAGATATATTTCTTTAATAAAATCATTAAAGATTTGTTATACTTCCTCTGTATCTAACTTCATTCTTTTCCATAATATTAAATAACTGTCTATGACTTATGCATGTGTAGCATTATCTATTAAATTACATCAGAGAACATTTCAATATTATCAACAAGCACGTGTAGTTTGCTAAAAGGATAAATACATTAACAAACAACTAGTTGTTATGAAATCTTTCAATATCTATCCAAAGAACATGATCAGATGAAATAATTAGCGCAACCAAAAAGAAAGAAAACTGAGAATTCTACATTTATTTAACGCATAGAAAAAGAAAAGCGATACATTTGAATAATAAATGAATCGCGATTTCTGCTGTTCAAATGGAATGTAGACAATGATCATTTTTAAAAAAGTCTGGTATTTGATCTTCAAAACGTTACATAACTTTGTAAATATTTTTTTTCCATGATAATTCAAGATCTTTTTGAAATGAAAACGATGTTTTTTTATTTTATTGTAATAAAAACAGGCAGTAAAAAAATTTTCGATTATTTTTAGTACGATAGCATAAGCCAAAAGGTATATAAACGTACAAATTAATAAACTTATTAAAAACAAAATAAAAAATATTTTTTTCTATTTTCTATTGCATACTTTCTTTTATTTTGATATATTTTTACATTTCGCTTAAAATGTTTTGTTAAAGTATATATAAAAATGTTCTAATATGATTCATGATTGAAATAAAACTGAGAAATAAATTCACTTTTTTCAATTGAAGATAATATTTAATTTGGATATCGTGAAGGTGAGGGGTCTGGGTGTGAGGGTTTAGGTCTAACATAAAAGTAACCACAATCTCAGTCACACCCACACCCAACCTCAAGTCATACATATCATATATAAACAAAATCTCATGAAAAAGAAATATTTATTTATTTATTTAAGCGTAATGCGACTAATGTTGTGCATTTCTGAAAAATAATCAATAAATTTTTCAAAGTTTAAATTTATATCACGTTCTACTGCAAGTATACGAAGGTCACTTAAACGATCATCAGTCATAGTACTGCGAACTGTGGTCTCGATCTTTTTTATTTTCGAAAATGTACGTTCACAAGTTGCTGATGAAATCAATATGGTTGCAGTACCTTTTATTAAATCAACAAGAATATTAAAAGCTTCTCTAAATTCGTATAAATCAATAATATTAGTTAATAATTTGTACTATAATATCGGCTTTAATATATTTAATTCATTAGACAAAATATACAGATCGAATTTTTAACGATTAGCAAAAAATCTCAATGTATCAAAATTTAGAAGTGTATCACTGGTTGGGTATAATGATAATATACTGGATAATATCTTTAAAGTGCTCAAGACAAATCGATTTTTTAATTTGATCAATATATTATCAATTAATTGATAATAAATTCGACGTTTCCGATAAAATAAATTGTGATTATGTTTCTGTAGATTTGAATGAGGACCTCGATCCGTGATCGTCTAGTTTTTTTTTGATATAGATGATGAAAAGAAAGATTCGATAGTTCTTGTCTTGAAAATATTAGAATTCATTTATTCTTATTTGTATACTGATGAGATATAGTACTTTTTCATTAAACTTTCTATATGTCTATGAGCGACATCAGATAACGTAAGACACTGATGAGTGCTCTTAAAATACAATAATATTAGTGAGGAAAAGATGGCGTTCGACTATCTTAAGTCTATGTTATATTAACACGATCGATAATTCAATATTTAAGATTATTCTGAATGATTTTAGTTCATTAAAAAATTCTAAAGTCAAATTGTGGATAAACGACTGAGCGCCTCTGTCTCCCCTAGCTTCGCTACTAGTTGATATCATTCTTTTTCGTTTTTTCTTTCTACAAGTAATTATACCACGTGTGAAATCCATGAAACAAAACAAATAACCATACTTATTTACTGATAAGATAGAGAACAATATATATATATATATATAATCAACATATAAATCTACACAGCACGCATCTTATCAACAATTTATAATGGCAAATCAAACTGTCGTTAACTTCCTTACCGTACCGGTAGAACTTGTCTACCGAATTCTGGATCATCAATCAGTTTTAACAATTATGTGTTCAATGATAAACGTGTGTCAGCGATTCAATAGAATCATCGATACTTATCATAGATATCAGGTGAACTTTTTTCTATCCAGATGATCTAACTTTTATCTATTGGTTTCAAAAAAATATACGTGAACAGACTATCTGTCACTTACGTTAGTAACTTATTTTCAGTCGAGATTTTCACAGAACATCATCGCATACTATGCACCATATAAAACTATAAATATTTATATTCGCATCCATAAGCTCACTAACGGGATCAGAACAACATTTATTTTACTGTTCTCGTCCTATGTAACACCGATCCATTATTTCGTTTCTCCGCCTAAGCTATTTCTTTACCTTCCTTTTTTCATTTAGACACTCACCAGTCTACATCTTCGAGAGAGACAAATTGGACACGTTCAAGCACAATCCATGGCTGATGCATTACAATACAACACGGTGATTGTTATTCTCTCTCTATCCAAACCATGTCTCTAACTATACTTTTTCATTTAGACACTCGTCAAGCTCAATCTCTCTCTCAATGATATCGGGCATGTTGGTGCACAATTTTTATGTGATGCATTAAAACACAACACAGTAACTCACATTCTCTCTTTATCTAAACTGTATCTTTACCTGCGTTATTTCTTCTAGACACTCACCACGCTCGATATCTCTGCCAATGATATCGGACATCTTGGCTCACAATTTTTGAGTGACGCATTATACCATAACACAGTAACTTTCATTCTTCCATTATATAATCTACATTTATACCTGCGCTATCTCTTCTAGACACTCACCACACTAGAAATCGGATGTAATGGAATCGGAGATGTTGGTCTGCAACCTTTGGGTGATGCACTACGACACAACACAGTAACTCTCCAGTCCTCTTCATCCAAATCATGCCTTTACTTCCAATTGTTCATCTAGACACTTACGACGCTCGATCTCTATGAGAATGAAATCAGGCATGTTGGTGCACAGCTTTTGGGTGATGCATTAAAACATAACACAGTAACTTACATATTCTCTTTATCTATACCATGTCTTTCCCTTCACTTTTTCATATAGACACTCACGGCATTGGATCTCTCTAACAACGAAATCGGAGATGTTGGGGCACAATATTTTGGTGATGCATTAAAATATAATACAGTAACTCTCATTCGATCTTCATTTGTATTATGTCTTTAAATTTACTTTTTAATTCAGACACTCACCACACTAACCCTGTGGGAAAATGAAATCAGAGATGTTGGAGCCCAATCCTTGGCTGATGCACTACAACACAACACAGTAACTCTCATTATCTCTTTGTCTGTAAAATATCTTTATGCACACTTTTTCATCTAGACACTAATTACATTAAACCTCCAACATAATCAAACCGGACATATTGGAGCACAATCTTTCAGTGATGCATTACAACACAACACAGTACCTCTCACATCCTCTTTATCTGCAACATGTCTTTTTGTACACGTTTTCATCTAGACGCTAACTACATTAAACCTCCGACATAATCAAATCGGAAATGTTGGAGCAAAATCTTTGGCTGATGCATTACGACACAATACAGTAACTATCGTTCACTCTTTATGCCAACCATATCTTTACCTTCAAATGTTCGTCTAGGCACTTACTACGCTCAATCTCTCTGGTAATGGCATCGGAAATATTGGTGCACAACTTTTGGCTGATGCACTACAACACAACACAGTAACTCACATTCTCTCTTTATCTAAACTACATCCTTACTTACGCTATTTCTTCTAGGCACTCACCACGCTTGATCTTGCTGGGAATAAAATCGGAGATGTTGGAGCACAAAATTTTGGTGACGCATTGCAACATAACACAGTAACTCCCGTCCTCTCTCTATCTATGCCGTGTCTGTACCTTCACTTTTTAATCTAGACACTCATCACACTAATCCTATGGCAAAATGAAATCAGTGATATTGGAGCACAATCCTTAGCTGATGCACTACAACACAACACAGTAACTCTTATTCCCTCTTTATCTGTAAAATATCTTTATGCACACTTTTTCATCTAGACACTAATCACAATAAATCTCCAATGTAATAAAATCGAAGATGTTGGTGCACAGTCTTTGGGGGAAGCATTAAAACACAACACAGTACTTCTCGCATCCTCTTTGTCTGTAACATATTCTATGTACAATTTTTCATCTAGACACTAATTACATTAAACCTCGCATATAATCAAATCGGTAATGTTGGAGCAAAATCTTTGGCTGATGCATTACAACACAATACAGTAACTATCATTCCGACTTTATTCAAACCATGTCTTTATCTTCGCTTTTTCATCAAGACGCTAATCACATTAAACCTCCAACATAATCAAATCGGGCACGCTGGAGCAAAATCTTTGGCCGATGCATTACGACACAATACAGTAACTATCATTCTCTCATAATCTATAGCATGTTGTTCCATCTGTGTTTTCATCTAGACATTCACAACGCTCGATCTTTCTAAGAATAAAATCGGACGTGTTGGAGCACAATCTTTGGCTGATGCATTACGACACAATACAGTAATTCAGATTCTCTATTAATTTATGCCATGTCTTTACTTTCACTTTTTAATGTAGACATTCACCACGCTCGATCTCTCTGGTAATAAAATCCGACGTGTTGGTGTACAATCTTTGGCTGATGTATTACGACACAATACAGTAACTCTCATTCCCTCTTTATCTGTAAAATGTCTTTATCTCCGCGTTTTCATCTAGACACTCACGGCACTACAATTGTCGGACAATAAAATTCGACATGTTGGCGCACAATCTTTGGCTGATGTATTACAACATAATACGGTAACTCTCATGCCCTCTTTATCAATAATATGTCTTTGATTCCACTTTTTTATCTAGACTCTCACGACATTGGATCTCTCGCGCAATGAAATTGGAGATGTTGGTGCGCAATCTTTGGGTGATGCATTACAACACAACACAGTAACTCTCATTCCCTCTTGATCTGTAGCATGTGTTCATGTCCAGTTTTTCACCTAGACACTAATCACATTAAATCTCCAAGATAATGGAATCGGAGATGTTGGTGCACAATCTTTGGCTGGTGCATTGCCATACAACACAGTAATTGCCATTGTCTTTTTATCTATAACATATCCTTACCTCCACCTTTTGATCTAGTCACTTATCACACTGAATCTCTCTGGCAATGAAATCGGAGATGCTGGTGCACAATCTTTGGTTGATGCATTACCACACAACACAGTAATTTTCATTCTCTTTTTACCTGCACTACTAAAAAAAGGAAAACTCCTGAATCCTGCAAAAAGGTTCTTGCAGATTTCAGCAAGGTTCAAAATGCGTTCATAAGTCTGAAAAACGATTAAAAATATCTATGAAACCTTGACATAAGCCGGGCGCATAGACAAAACCATATAACGCAAAACTTCTTTTTAAATTCTGTAGAACATAAAAGGTTTTGTAGTGAAGCGTAAAACCTTTAGAGTTTCGTATTAAACCTGATTGTTCCGTAGTACGGTTTTCATAGAAAACCATTAAGAGTTAATAGGAAACTCTAAAGGTTTCATATTTCCTAACAAACCTTTTTATGTTGTACAAAAGTAAAAAGGAATTTTGTGGTACATGGTTTAGCCTTTGTGCACGCGCCCTGATTATTTTAAGGTTTCGTAGATTTTCTTAATGACTTTTTACACTTTAAACGTATTTGGAACCTTTTGGAGAGTTCAGGAGTGTTCCTTTGTTTAGAGTGCATAGCAGATCTTTAGAGTCACTTTTTCATTTAGACACTCACCGAACTAAATCTCTCGGATAATGAGATCGAGAATGATGCGATTAATTAGTTGACCAGAATCATAGAGAAGGTAAACCATAAATGGTAATACTGAAGGTGTTTGAATGACAAATGGATTTTATTTATGAACATGCGGATATTTTTCTTGTGCTGTTGTTTTCACGCTGTCAATAAAATTACTTGTTTTGAAACTTAAGACATATTATGGTGATAGTATTTCTTCAGGTTTTCTACTTTGTACTGCTGGAAATGATGATGCACCAGGCTGATAAAGGAGCTTTAAGAAACTATTTTGTAGCTGTACAGCACGTGCAGACCTATACTGAGTTTCTTTATAACAGCAGCAAGTTCTAAAGATCTCTCCAGTGACGATGATGGATATAAAGTTTTGTATGATAGTAGCAAAACTCTGAAGGACCCTCCCAAACAATACTGAACCGTAAGAAATTCTGCCTGATTATAGCGAAATACTGCGATGTTTGTTTCAGTATTAATGAAGCGAGGAGTCCTGCCCGATGATATTGAACAAGAAATGTTTTCTCCATTACCGCTGAGCTCTAAAATGTGCAGTATAAATTTGTGCTGAACTCAGAAAGATTCTGCGTTCAACGTTGTGGAATCAAGTATAATTGTTTTAGTTTTGCATCATTCCTCAATACGTTATAATTGAATAGCTAAATCATAAAGAATTTATATAGAAATGAAAAACGTTCAGTACGGAACTATCTTGTAACTTAGAAAGCTCTTTTATTAAAGTGATTGTATATAAGATCAATAGTACTTTTGCATTTAGCTATGGTTTTGTTTCACTTAATTGAATGGTATGATTTTAACATGAGGTATGAATGCATTTCTTTGCATAAAAAGAAGATATATTTGTTATTCGTTGAGTTTAACTATATAAATCTTCAGCTTCGAAGCGTCATTAAGTTTCTTTCGATAACTTCAGTTGTTTGTCGGTAGCTAATGGTTAAATAATACTCATAAGTATTTAATATTATATTCATCAGTCATTATTTGTACTGAAACGGTGTCTCCTGTGATAATAAACAAAGACACTCAACGTTACTGTTATATGAACCTTCAACACCTTCAAATTTTGTTTCCTCTAAGAAAAAAATCTATGAGAAGTTCAGAGTCAAACATAAAAAGATAATGCTATTTAGAATATTTCACGATCATCAAACATGGCTCCACTTCTTTTCTGACTCTTAGATTATCGAGAATATCACAGTTATTTTCAAATCTTTTTTGATCAAAAATAAAAATTGAACTGATATTCATTATAAATATACACAAATGTGCGCTACTGTAAATATTGTTTCTGTTTTCTACTGAAAAGATATCAGATCGAGTATTTCATCCAAAATGTCTTTTTTTAAATGATCTAAACTGATACTATACAAATCTATAAAGTTTCGCATAATCAAGCCAAAAGGTGTTGGCTCATTCAGAGATGTCATCAACATTAGTCTCCGACGAATGTGAATTCAGGTGAGATGCATGAACATAAACGACACTAGAAGGATATAAGCGATCTCTTAGTTGATAAAGAAAATATCCTGTCAAAATGATATTCAGGAGTTTCAAGATTAGAATGCATATGTATTTATTTCTGCGAATAATGGGTGTGGGTGTGGATTAGGATGGTAGTCTAAAACACACCCATCCACACGAACTGTATCCAACTCTTTATTGTCTCATACAAAAACATATTTATCTTGAATTTCCTATATAAATATCTGTCGGCAATAAAAAGAGCAATTATTTCGGCAATATAAAAAAAGAAAGCTTTGTTTTTGTCTTTTTATTTGATAAAGAATGAGTTACTGAATACGTTAGTATTTCAAAATAAGAAAATGACGATAAATTCTAGTATAACTCGATTTGAAAATCTTTCAAATGAAATTTTTTATAGAATATTTGATTATCTACATATTTTTCGATCTTATCAAAGATTCTTTCGTTTAAATAAAAGATTACAAAATCTTTTCCTTTCATCAAATAGTTCAATTGAAGTTAATTCTTTAAAGATATCAGAATTATCATTTGATAAAACTTATCAGAAATTTTTGCAATCAACAATTCATTAAATAAATTCACTTTATATTTCCAACACATTTATGATGACTTCAATATTTTCATCTTTTAATAATCCAATTTTATTTAAAAAATATCAATGATTGGTGATAATTATACCTACGGTCAAAACTTAAGTATTGCTAAAACAAATTTTAGTTTAATCGAACATTTGATTATTGACTCATATGTAAATCTTAAAGATCTTTTGCCTCTTTTATCATATGTTCCAAATCTTTGTCGTTTATCAATCAAATGTTTAATATCTTCATTAGTTTGAAGAATTTATTTGGATTCTTTTTAAAAATCTTTAAGTTTTACATCTTTCAACAAATATGAATGATAAATATATTAAAGGCCGAAAATGGGAACATTTAATTAAGCATTATATGCCTCATTTACGAATTTTTAACTTTCAACACCACCATAAAATACCATTTAAATATCCTGAAACATGTCAATAGTTAATCAGACAATATAAGTCTATACAAAGATTCAACTCGTGGACTTTTCTCTTCTATAAAATCATATAGGTAAATATATTATTCGCTAATAAACCGTAAGTTTTGTTTCTTATTTTAGAGCGGAAAAGATCTTCATTCAAGTTGTATTAATAATCAATGTAAATCTTCACGTTTAATCGAAAATAATTTTAATTCAGTTCGTCATAGTTATATTGGAAATCGGTATAAGTCCTTATTATCGACAATAGTCAGTGCTGAGTCAATTTCTATTCCAAATGTAATTCAACTTACCTTTGGCGAAGATACTCCATTATATGATGATTTTATTCAAAATCTATTAAATCGTTTTATACATTTAATAAACGGACTATGTCATGTGATATTATAATTAAAATGTTACAATTGACACCGAATTGTTACAAATTAAAACTTAAGATTTTATCTTCCATAGAATCTAATGAAAACTTTCAATATTTATCAAAGAAAAACAAGGTTCAAGATGTATTAATAAAATTATGTACATTTGAAGATATTCAATTCTTAATAAAACTTTGTTGTCGATTAGAATATCTTCATATAAATGTATCTGACAAGGGTTCTCAATCAATTATTAGTCATGTTTTAGATAAAAAGGAAAAGAATCCTTATTTACATTTATTAAATATTCAAAGTTCAAGTGATCTATGGGATGAGGAAATTATTAATTCCACAACAACTGTTCGACAATCAAATGAAGTTTCTTATGATATGATGGACATGATATTCATAAAATATCTTTAAATCATAAAATTTGAAAAAAGATTTCTTTTATAGATTGAAACCGGAAAGAAAATTCAATAATATGATACAATTGTTGCCATATTTTGCCCACCGTGCAATGCATTACTTTTTATTATTTTCTCGAAAATCTTCTACAAAATCAGAAAATTTGTTCAATAAATCTTTTGTTGTAGTTTCATTTTTATTAAAGCAACTCTATAATTTGTAACTGTGCTTCGATGTTCATTATTTTATTTTTTGAATTAATTGAGGATGAGAGTGTGAGATTCATGTGTAAATATGCTACCAAAGCAGACAAAATTTGGGAAAAACGCATATAAACTACCAGAAGAGTTATTTTTTAAGGATTTTCACGCGTGTTGAAAAATATGGGGGTATAGACACTATTAATTTTGATTCTCTTATTGTAATAACGGTTAAACCTTTTATAGCAGTCATATTTAGAGAAATAAACATTCAAATATCTCATTTTTGTATCTTGTTAGCGCTCATCTTTTGAAGAGTATGATGTTCAAACTAGATAGCGTGAACACATTCATTGTGTTTTATCATATATTAAATAACTCCGCGTTCACCTTTAGAATATCAATTCGTAGGAACTTTTGAAGATGAGTGATAGTACATGTCGCAGATATTTCGATGTGAGAAATGTAATGATAATTGCGAACCATCATTCTAAATCTTTACTTCGCTCTCACTCTCAAGATGATTTGCATATCTCTTGTGGGAAAATAATTAAATCACAATTTATTTGAAATAGTTAGTACTTAATTAACTATAGACAGTGTAAGAGCAAAATACATTTTTTTACCACCATAAGCACAATTCATCCTGTCGATGTTCGATATCATAATTATCAAGTAATTTTTCATTATCGATCATTGTCTTCAGTTGTTTGATCATTGCATCATCAGCATAAAATACCAATGAAAAAAGATGACTGTTATTAATTCTGTTTGATAACAAATTTCGTACAAATGATATGAGAGTATCCTCTTCGTTCAGAAGTCGAAGACATTCCATTCGAGGAAAAAGCTTATTGATTAGTTGAACAGTGGTAAGTGCAAGTTCACCATGTATTTCTACATTTCGCACATTATTATTGCATACCAAGTCGACTGTATTAGTTTGTTGATCTGACGATACTTCTATTCTAGATGATGACCATGTGACAAGAATCAATTTTTGAACATTAGGCATACGATTAAGAAGTTTAACAAAACTGTTCAACAATATATTATTAAATGAAATCTCCAAATAAGTAATATTTGTCAAAATAAAAATATGACT